ATATACTAATAATTATAAAAATATAGAACTACTTATAAATAGAATAGATATTTTTATAGAATTAAATAAAATACTATATAAATAAAAAGAGATTACTAGTATTAATCCTAAAGAAGGGAGATAAAGTTTACTTTATTTATAAAAATATTAAAATAAAATAATTTAATAATAAACTTAAGTAGAAGAAAATTAGACTATTCTTTATTAAAAAAAAACTATTAAAAGTTAATTATAAACTATTATTATTAAAAAGAATAAAGATATATTCTATATTTTATATATTATGACTAAAGAAAGTACTAAATAATATAATACTTACTATATATATTATTATTAAAAATATAAATAAATATAAAATAGAGAAGATACTTAAAGTATAAAGAACTATAAAGAATTATTATTATTTTATTAAGTAAAAAGGATACTTTAAGCTTTAAAAATATATAAAAACCACTTAAGAATCTATTTAATTACTTAAAACTACTTAACTAGTTTTACTCTAAAGAAAAATAGTTTAGTTAATCCTATAAGGACTATTAAGAGACTTTATACTAAACTTAGTTTTAAAAGAATAAACTAAAGAAGAATCTAACTTTTTAAATAAAGTAAAAAAGGTACTAATAGTTTTTTAAAGCTATTCTACTTCCTCTTATTCTATATACTCTAACTCTTACTCTAACTCTTTAATATTATTAATACTATATATAATAGTATATATTATTTTCTTAAACTATAATTTCTTTTATTTTTAAAGACACTTAATCTTAATATTTATTATATAATATTCTTCTTTAGTTATTTTAAACTCTTACTTAAAATATATATAATAATTAACTATCTAATAAAACTAGACTAATAAAATACTTTATATATTATAATAGGATTAGTAATCTATTATATATTAAGTATAGTAAGAGGAATTAAAGAATAATAGTTAATAAAAAGTAATACTCTTCTTTTAGTAGTAAGAATAAAGACCCTTTTTTATAGTCTAAGGATTAAAAAGGATAGAATATAATAAAGTCTTATACTACTTAGACTTTTAAGAATATAATTTTAATCTCTACTTAATAATATAATTAGTAAATATAATAGACTATAATAATATAAAAGAGAAAACTACCTACTACTTAAGTAGTCTATTTTAATAGCCTTAAAGATAAAACTATTAAAAAAAGAGTATTATATTATAAATACTATAAAATATATAAGTAGGGTTAAAAGAAGTAAAGTAAAGACTTATTATACTAACTACTAAAAGGATAAGAGATTATATAATCTCTTTAGGATTAAAGACTTAAACTATAAAGTTATTAATCTAAGAATAGGATTTAAAGGATTAAAGGTTAAGTCTTTTAATCTAAAGTTATAGTAAAGAGATAGATAAGTACTTAAAGAGGAGGTATTCTTATAGTTAGGTAGTCTAGATCTCTATTAATTAATCTAAATAATAGTTCTACTATTAAGAGATATCTCTTAATATAACTTATACTATAATAACTACTTATATATACTTATATATTTAAACTAACTCTCTACTTAAGAAATAAACTAACTATAGATTAGGATTAAGCCACTATTATACTATATAAGAGGAACTTAGGGATGTCTAGCTATAGCTAGTTAATAGTAGGCTTTTTTAATCTTTATTACTATAAATAGCACCTGTATATTAATTCTAACGTGTGGACCACCTATAAAGTAGGCCTTAGCTAGCCATAGATTAAGGACAAACTAACTCTACACCCCCTTACTTAACTGGCCGTACGTTTTGTATATGAGACTGAGTGTCCCTACGAACATCCGACGACCATTAGACGCCGTTGCGGAAGACGGCCAATTCTAACAGTATACATAGCTGGCTAACGCGACGCCACCATCGTCGTAACTACCAAGTTAGGCCCGGCGGGGGTCTAATATCTATAGCCGAATAGTTAACCTGACTCGCTTAGTCCTTACGAATACAGGTAGTTTCATAAATATAGAACTATAATAAATTCTCTAAATTACGTATTAAATGGTTATTTACTAATACATTATATCCATTTAGTACAGTACTTTTTAAGGTATTTTATAATAGCCTATACAGTCTGCGAAATGCCCAGTTATCTAAAACTCTTGAACCACCTGGCAACTTGGTAATACCATTACCGCCAGCTTCCAACTTCGACTCATATTCACCCATAGCCAAACCCGTTAAGAATTGGCCTAATGGTTCTGTTGGGCTATGCATAGACGTAAAGATTGTGCGAAATAGAGGACCGAGAAAGACACCCATAATCTTATATACAACGGTTGGCTCGGGAATGAAAGGCTTGATGGCTGTATGGCGAGAAGCGTCTACGCCGGCAGGGCGAACGGACTCGACTTGAAGGCGAGCATTGCACGCGGCGGATAACAGTGTTTCAGCTTCGCCTTTGACACGTCCATAAAATGGCGTAAAGAAGCCTGGCGTTTGCGTCGCTCCCCCGCCAGACACGTATATAAATCGAAAAATTGAGCCTTCGGGTGGGAGACTATGAAAAGCTTTGGCAGCTGCGAGTGGCCAGTCTTTTGTGATCATGGTATAATCCCTATGTTCACGATCAAACGTTAGGGATGTGCAAACAGCGGAAGGGTCACGACGTACATTGTAGTCACCGTGAGCGCGCTAGTTCCAAGCGCCCATACAACGCCGCTAGCCCCGCTAAGCTGGCTCAATATCTCAGCGTCGTAATTTCCAAAGTCGTTACAGAGTACGACTTGGATTCTAGGATCCGTATTGCCCGTGAGTGCCGGAACCGGTCTTCGACTCAAAACGGATATTTTTGTAATATTTTTCGAGGTGAGCATTGCTTGCAGGACACTGGAGCCTACGAGGCCCGTAGCACCCGTGAGAATGAGGTGCATCTTGTTGTATTGAAGTGTAGCGGGGGAGTAGCTGGACATGGACACGGTTGCACCACGCCAAGCACCAACGTCTTTTTCGACACTATGTATGGCCTCGGAGACGGAACCGCGTTGTTTATATCTTAGATTGCTGCCTCTGTCGACGCAATCAAAAGTTCCCTTGCCAAGCAACCAAATGTTTGCTTTTTTTTTTTCAGGGCGGTGTTAAAGTCAACAGGGCAGTAAGCAGGTGGAGGGGGGTGGTAACCACCTCTAAACGGCCATTACATTGTCAGACTGCTGGCAGTTAGGCTATCGCCCCAATAAAGCAGTCCAATCAACCTGGAAACCGATGAGCTCAGAAAGATCCGCAGGTCTAGATGGGGCGGTGGGCAGACATGCCAGGGGGTAAGCATACGCAAAATTAACTTTTATTAACAAAACAATTCAAACAGATTTGGCAGCTCAGTATCCGTATAAATATAGCGATTATTCAACTGGCCTTCGGTTTAATTACAGCAATCGCGGGCGGCAGACACGATGCTGGTACTAGCCCTATTACATTCAGCAAATATTACTCAATTTGAGACGTCATATACTACCAACTACCGAGCCTCAGATCAAAGTGCCACCAACTACTATTGTGGGCTTTCGATTGCTTCGTCATCTATACGACTGGCTGGAAGAAAAAGCTGAGGTTGTCCGCGGTGATGTCTCCAATAATTTGTAGAGGCTAGAACCTCCGGTAACCCTTGTAACAAACATGCCCACTTACTGACAAATTCACTGCTGAATTCCCAAGCTGAGGCATCCCATGAATCACCCCAGATAAGCACTGGCGATTCGGATTTCTCCTCCAGGTTTAACAACTGGCAGCACAATTGGTCACAGAGGCTCTCTTCATCGGCCTCCCCGGCTTGAATACTTTGCAAAATCTTGTCTCTGAGATTTGGGAATGGGAACAAATCGAGCCAGGCATGATGCGCAACCACCGTCTGTAAGGGTGTCGGATTGAGACAAGCCGGATAACGCTGCTCTATAGTCGCCTGGCCACGGCTGCACAAGAATGGCGTTGTGTCATCATCGTTGCCCAGGTCTTGAACTGAGATTTGTAAGATACGGGCATTTCTCATCAATGCATCGAAAGCATTTAGGCGGCCAATGGCTGGTAAGTCACGTGCAGCTGGCCGGCCAAGAGACCAGTTTTGATAAGCATCGGCCAGAAATGCCCCAACTTCTCGTGACAGTGTCGTAAAATTGATAGAGGATAAAAGGTCCGGCAAGTTGTGACTGAGATCCGCGACAAGAACGGTTTGTGGTAGATTCAGCGACATTGTAGAGCAATATCCGCCAGGCGGTTTCGGCCTAATAATGGTCACATCTCGCGTTGCGTCGGTATTGGTATCAGCTGAGGCTGGGAAGACTCGGCGCCGCCTGCCTAGACGAACCAATCCCATTAGCATGGACCGAGACTGTGGCCGGGGGGTGGCGCGCGATATGTACTTACGGTATGCTCTCTGATGAACTCGATTTTGCCTCCGCCTCCGTTCCGCGGAATCGGTTATGCCGTCCCAACTGTCCTCTTGACCCCAGACCGCCGGGTTTCTTTGTCGCTGCATGATGCTCTAGATGTTGATGTGTGAAGGAAGCCATTCAGTGGGGACATCCTAAGTTGCGTCCACCTTTATAATGCCGAACTATGTAGTTGCCACTCCGCAGGAAGTCTGCCTGTTGTGGGTCAACGTGGCGCTCGATTGCTGACAATCCCCAGAGGCTAGTTATGTCCAGTGGCCCATCCAAGAGTAATTGCGTGCGGTGCCAGTTTCGTAATTGGCCGAATGGCTTGGCCTGTTCCTTTCGATACTGGCCCACGTAGCCTACCCGCCCTTCCTCCTATACTCTGGGGGAAGCGCTGATGATCTGCATTGTGCAGATGAACTCTAGTTCTATTTGATCTCTAGTTATTTCTAATACACAATAGAGGCAGTTACAGCCACCACAAGTGCCAAACCAGCTCTCCCCAACATCTGAGCTGCAGGCATCCTAGCTTCCTTCCCTCGCCGCAATTTACCCACTGCCACACCAAAGCGAATTATCAGGCCCAGCTGAGTAATAGTAAAAAGAATCATATCTTATTGCAATACCTCAACGTAACCTTCCAGTTCGGACTGGATCCATCTGAACATGCTCTCTTGAAGATCGAGGCTTTGGCTCAGTTTGGAACCCGATTCCTCCTTGCCGATAGGCCCGTAATACTGGCCGGTTTTGGCGTCTGGGCTAACAGCCGCCCAAATCTGGGAAAGGGCACCTTGTTCGACCGGAGTCGCCAGCATACCGACCGCCGCATGCAGGAATGGCTTGAGAAAAAAACCCGTGGAAGCATGATGGAGGTTCGTAGCAACCATTCCGGGATGAACGGGAATCACTTTAATGTTCTGCTCCCGGTTTGCCAAAGCCTTGGCATAATGCAGATCGGCGAGCTTAGAAATAGTATATCTCGCCGTAGTTCTCCGATCCTGCATGGTGGTTCGAAGTTGATCGAATTTGTAAATGTCTTTGGGGGCCTGGCTATGCGCAGAAGACGAGAGCATAACGACGCGGGTCTGAGGATTAAGCTGGGCCGTCTTGCGTAGAATCGGGAGCAGAAGCTGGGTAAACAATGCGGGACCCATGACATTTGTTCCAAATTGAATTTCATAGCCATCTTCGGAGAGTCCCTCAGGAGTCATCATGATGCCCGCATTATTCATGAGAATATCTAGACGGGATTCTTGACGGAGGAAAGCGGCGGCGGCGGCTTTCACGCTATCAAATGACGCGAGATCAAGCTTTAAGAACCTGATGGGGCTGCCATTCGGGTTCAGTCGCTCTAGTCGTTGAATAGCTGCATCTGCTTTGTCTTGAGACCGGGCTGCAAGATAGATTCGGGCAGGATTGTGCTCTCTCAACTGCCGGATAGTCTCAAAACCGAGACCAACATTGCCTCCAGTGACGATGATGACCCTATCACTGAGCTTAGGGATAATGGCGGAAGTAAGCGACGGCATCGTTGCGCAGTTACTCGGTCCGATAAACTCCAATATAACCGCAGTTGAAGAAGTTGGTTGGTATAAAGTCGAGGGTGAGAACGGTCGTTGCCGTGAAAAGTTTCCAGAATGACGGGCTATTCAGGACTTAAAAGAGAAAAATAGAGCGCCTAGTAGTTGAGGGTCACAGCTGTGCCACCTCTGCCCCGTATCGCATAGAGCCTTTTGCGTCACTAATAAATTTGTGCACTCACGCTAGCCACTGTGTATCCAGCCTACATACATAGGTCACTGAGCCGCAACGTTTGAATGCTTGAGCAAGGGCATAAGCAGACTAGACCCGCATTCGAGCTGTCTTGTGGACCCGTGGATTTATGTATGTACATACATAGGTGTGTCGCCACCCGGCCTCGATTGACAGGGTGCTAAGCAACTAGCTTAATTAAAAATGTGCGATTAACACCAGCGGCTCCGGAAAGGAGCGATCATCAAAATGCATCCCTCCAACTGGCCAAGTGAGTGGCGCCGCCCTACTACAGTGGGTGGCAACAAGTATTCGACCCCTTCGTGGTAGCTTTTTCCAAAACCTACTAACCTAAATAGGGAAATTACATGCCGCTTTTTAGTTATTCGGGGTAGGGCTAGGATCATCCCCTGTAAGTCCACTGTAAATGCATTATAGTTGGGGTTAGTGCTTGCCTGATTAAAGCAGCAGCATCTTATCCGGATTCTTTAGGCTAGGTACCATGAAGGGGTCAAATACTTGTTGCCACGCACTGTATACATGACAGCCTCGATTGACAGGGTGATAAGCAACTAGGTGCTCAATTAAACAGTGCGACTAACACCGGCGACGCCGGAAAGGAGCGACCATCAACATGCATCCATCTAACTGGAGCCAAGTGATAGCGCCATAGCGTTTGAACCAGTCTACGGCATCAAGTACCCCATCACAACTGCTTTGGTGCTTAGTGCAACCGTCCAGTTATACCCACGCTACGCCTCTCTTGGAATCTAACGATCGATGGTGGTATTGTCAAGCTGTCATGACGGTGGCTCAGATACCCTACACTTCAGGCCATTCCGAAAATCGTATGGGCCACCGTCAATTTCCACCAAAACGGTACAAAATAAAGAAGTTAGAGTATTAATAAAGAGCTACATAGCAATTAAGAGAATAAGTGATTAGAGATTATTATACTCTAGAAGGGTACTATATTATAAATACACTATAGTACTATAGATAAAGGGTGGAGTAGTCTAATAAGTAACTATAGGGTGCTTATAAGAGTATAAGAATAAAGGAGTTTAATATATAACTATATTACTCAGGATTATAGTAATCTAGTACTAATCTAGGATTATTAGAATTATAGAGTAAGCTAGTAATCTAAGTAATATAGTAGAGGATAGGATAGATATATAAGGAAGGGGATTCTTAGTAGATAGTTAGACTAGATCTTTATTAATTAATCTAAGTAATAGTTCTACTATTAGGAGATATCTCCTAATATAACTTATATTATAATAACTACTTATTAGTGTTTTATATATTTAAACTAACTCTTTTCTTAAAAAATAGACTAACTATAGATTAGGATTAAGCTACTATTATACTAAGCTTTTATAGTATATAGTTAAATTAAACTACTTTTCTCTTTAACCTTTATACTAGTTCTATTATAATATTATAGTAAAGTATAAAAGTAGAGAGTTAACTCTATATTATAGTTAATGTCTTTAAATAGTAGATAATCTATATACTTTTAAAAATAAGTATTATATACTAGTTTAATTTTATTCTAAATAATACTTATTATAGATTTATTATATAGTTAAGTCTATAATATATTTTAATAAGAAGAATAAAGTAGAATTTATATAGAAATATACTATATAAGAAATCTTTTTATATTATTTATATATAACTAATAAACTCTAGTTCTTTATTATTTAAAACTAATTTTTACTTTTTTTAAGTTAATAATTATATAACTTAACTTAAATAGAAACTAAACTATTAATAATAATTATTTAACTTTATATAATATACTACTCTAGTAGTAACTATTAAGCATTTACTAGACTACTTAAACTAGCTAGAATTAAGTATAAATACCTTAGATTATTAATTCTAACTAAACTAGTCTTTTAGCTATTACTTTCTTAATATAAGATACTTAAATACTAGGAAAAAATATTACTATTTTAGAGGCTTTATAACTCACTAGTGCCGCGCTAGATAGACTTAACGCTCCTAAAAAGGGGTTCGTTATTCATGGTGGACGTGAGATAGAGGCACATTTTAAGTGCTTATCAGACCTCTCTCACTCTGTTCTAGCCATGGAATAACACAGCGCGAGCGTTCTCGCCGAATTCTACTGAAAACCGTAACACATTACTAAGAATCTCTCTCTATTCTATTTTACAGTAAGGTTTCCCCTTGAGGCAACGGCGCCGCGATACTATGGCATTGTGTATCGGATCCCAGTAGACCGCGGTGGCATACATTTGGCTTGTCCGCCAGTCCTTCGCTCCTTCTCAGCCGACTAGGGCGCTCTTTCAAGGCCTCACCTTCTCCGCGTCGTCATGCCCGGCCTCCCTGCCGGTTTGTCATCCTGTGTTTGCAGTCTTTTGACTACCGTCGTGTGTTTATGAATTTCTTAGATTTTAAGGTTACAAGTGTAAGCCGTATATATTCAAAAGTGAGCTATACGTTCTTATAAAGGTCTTTATAAACCACAATCTTATAGAAGGTCGATAGCATACTTGCCTATCTCCAGCCCTAAGCTCCAGCCCGCACACTTGCCCACGTTAGGGTCTATCGCCCACTGCTTAATCTTATCAAATTCGCGGCATCGTGGCTATGGTATTTATAGTCGAAATCGACTGACGAGCCTCTTAGACGCCGTATTGTGTTTAAGGATGGAAGAAATTCGGATTAGCATAAAACATATAAGAGACTCATAGTCACAGTGTGGAAAAGACTGTGCGTATAATCAGCCCAGCTACGGAAAGTAGTTACGTATTCTGATTTTAGGACACTATATAATTCTTTATTAAAGTATAAAAGTATAAAATGCTTAAAAATGTTTAAGACAGATTGCTTCTATTATTCCTTTTCTTCCCTTATTCTTATATTTCCTTTCTCTCTTTCTTAGTCTTTCCTATTTACTCTATCATACTCGTACTACTCCCGCGCGCACTACTTGGCTTTGATTATTGGATGAATTAATTCCGCAATTGCTAACAGCTTCTCGTCTTCAAACTTGCGCGCTGCCAGTTGGACGGACAAGGGTAAGCCATGGAAGGTCTCTGGGTCGTACAGTGCTTCCAGTCGCTTGTCTTCCGGGGAGAAGGGCTTGAAATTTTCGTACTTGGAGTCGAGCTCCCGATCGACCGTCATGTTGAGGGGTAGATTAATGGCGGGGAAATCGACGCTGTTGTAAATGGATGTATAGGATGTGTCAAACCATTGGTCGAACGGCAGAGCAGTATTCGCTGCCGTGACAGAAAGTAAAGCGTCTAAAGGCTCGCCACTGCTATTCCACTCATCATCCATAGTGCTTGAAAGATTCATCAGCTGAATATTAAGATCATACAGTGTCTGCACGCTGATGGGGAACCGTGGGGTGTCTGGAATGAAGATGCCAGTCCGGCGGACAATCTCGGTGATTGGTTCTTGTGATATTAGCTCAGTGATTCCCTCAATTCCTTGAAAAAGAAGAAATTCTTTGCAGAGCTCCCATACTGCGCTGAGGTCAGGAGGACTGAATGGCACTAGCTCAATGCTAGCTTCTCTGAGCCGATCTATAGCTGCCCTATAGCCACGAAGCACTGGGGGAAATAGATGAATAAAAGTATTCGAGCTTTCCACATCCCAAACGCCAATTCGAAGCTTTTTAGGCACGCTCTCGTTGTGCCAAGGGCTCGGATACAGCAGAAAGCTTGATCTTTCCCAGGGTTGAGCATCCGAAACGAGCTTGGAGACAAGGCGAAGGTCGCGGACCGATTGCGCAAAGAACCCCTCGCCGGCTGCTGGGCCAATTCCGCCACGACCGGGAGACCAGGGCAGATTGCGGCCACCTGGAGGTAATCTCGATCCGCTCGGACGAAAGCCGATAGCGCCATTGGCATGGCCAGGCATCCGGCAGGACCCTGCGCCGTCAGAACCGACTCCGAAAAGAGACGAGCTTGTTGCCATTGCCACGCCCTCTCCACCTGTGGAACCTCCAGCGCCAAAATGGCTGTTGTGGGCGTTCAAGGTACGGCCCCAAAGAATGCTGTTGGTGTCTGCCGCAAGGCCCGTCTGAGGCATATTTGTCTTAGCAATGATGACGGCACCAGCATCGATGAGAATTTGAATGAGGACTCCGTTGTTAGGCGCAATAGCGTCCGCAAGAAGGGTGAGTCCTTCCGATGCAGCAAAGCCCTCCAAGTCCATGGCATCTTTGATCGTGATTGGGATGCCGTGTAGAGGGCCCAAAACGGTGCCATTTCTCTGAAAGATGCTGTCAAGCTCCTTAGCACGCTCGATAGCCGCTTTGAAGTTGATTTCGGTAAGGAAGTTGGCCAGCGAATGCGTTGCGGTTGCGCGTTTGCAGAAAGCGGTGACAACTTTCTCCGCCGAAAGATTACCAGAAGCAATCCGTTTCGCCGTTTCTGTGAGATCGTATTTTGAAGTGTCTGTGATGTCCAGCTCTTCAGTGGAAAGAATGCCACTCTTAATGACAACTTCGCGGGGGCTGAAACTGGTTTCGTTGGAAGGTGCCGTCACTTTCCATTCCGATGGAAGAAGAGCTTCGCGCTCCGCTCTTTTGCGATTGACTACATTTTCCCATTGTGGGATGTCATCGCCACCATGTGCAGCTAACATAGCGGCAGGTGAGAGGCTAATTGATGAGTCGCGAACGTCGTGTGTACTGTGATGAACACTATGTACCAGCGCTCCTTGTAGAACCAATGCACAGAGAGTAGAACGAGCAAAAGGTTTTCTCATCTTGAAAATATAGCAAAGAGTTGGTTTGAGTTTAATAGAAGCCTTACTTCACTGTAAGCTGTGGCACGTTTCGGGTTTATAAGCTTTTAAGAATTCTTAGCTATCAATGAGGGTTACACTTCAACCACGGCAACCACGGATAATTACGTTAGCCAAGCTGCGCATGCATGAAGCCATGACAGTATGGGAAGACACCTGGTCGGGCTGCACCCAATCACCGTGAGCTTATACAGTTAGCGGCAATTGGGAAATTGGATAAACTCACGTATTGACTGACCGCGGCGAACGTATATCCCTGCAGACAGCCATACATCAACAAAGGGCCTTCAATGCAACAATACCGGCATTACGCACTGTCCTCGCTTGGCGGCATTTATAATGGTCGCCTCCGTAAAATCGAACGATCGAGCATAAGTTTCCTAGACGGGCGGACCTGGAAGTCGAATGCACCAATAGCAGCAGCATCCGAACGGAAGAGACGGACATGACTCAGGTTCTTAATACCCCGCACCGCTGCTTCTGACCACCTGAGAGAGAGGCTACCACCGTGGGAGCCAATATCAGTGTTGTAGCCCTCGGGCAGGATGATACGAAGTCATGGATGCAGGCATCACGGCATACCGCGTGAAGCTGGCTACCTGTAGCGGTGCTGGGATCAATACCTAGAAGGATGTTGTCTCGGATTGTGCCTATGCAGAGTCAGAACTGCAGGAAATGATGGAGCTGCAAGACGAAATGACCAACCCTGGAAGAGACATGGATCCCGCGCAACCAGGGCAAGCTGCTTGCGATGAGAGTGCACATTCAACTCGGAGATTGGCTTGCCATTTAGGAGGACAGCACCGGTTTCAGGTTCATAGAATCTCTCCAAAAGACAAATCACACTGGTTTTTCCGCAACCGGATGGGCTAACGAGACCGACGAACTATCCCTTGTCGATTTTCATGTCGAGTTTGTCGAGCACTGGTACCTCTCGCGTCGGAAACCGGAGAGTCACGCTGCGAAGCTCGATCGAAACGCCACCATCTGAATTTAGATTATGCCTTTTGACATTGTCATTGTCCGTGACACGCGAAGCACGGACATCCAAGATGCGTCCAGATGCCATGGTCGCCTGCGCCACGTTGGGGCCAAAGCTCAGCGGCTGTCCAAATCCTTCCGCAGCATTCATGAGGGCCATCATGCAAACAAAGAAAGACACAACATTGACCTCTCCACGTGCAAGAAGCCGGCCGCCATAGGAAAAAATGACTGCCTGGCATCCCAAAGTGGCACTGTCCGCATTCCCAGCACGATGCTTACCCAGCGAGATTTTCTGTAGGCCTCTGAGATGAGATATGGCCATGACAAAGCTTGCGAAACCGAGACGTGATGGATTCTTCAAGAGACAAGGAGCATACGGTGCGGAATGCTCCAATCGCTTCCGAGGCAAACTGGGAGCTTTCGGCAAAGACAGCACCGTTCATCTTGTCGAAGAGAAGGTCCGAAAGCGCACGGAAGCAGCGCAAATGCATACTGGCAGCACTGCACAACTCGAAACCAGCGCAAGTTTCCAGCTATACGACAAGGCCAATATCAGGCCGGCGATGATATTGCCAAAGGCAATACATACCTGAGCCAAGTTGATGCCCATCATCTCTTCAACCTTGGATGGGTCACCTCGAACCCGTGCGACTAGAGTACCTTGAGAATGGTCGTCTTGGTCGTAATATGCTGCTTTCTGCCGAATCAAAGAGTCAAAATACCCAACTTGGTATTTTTCGTGAATGAAGGCGGCCACGCGGCCAGAAGAAATCGGCAGGAAGTGTATGTAAACTGCCAGAAACTCTGCAACATCTGAGCAGGCTCTTCCAGACCGCTAGCAGTTTGAAACACCCCCGCTGTGGTATTCAGCTCCATGGTCGTCCTATCTTTTCCGACTATGTGCAGTCCTACCGCGACATGGAGCTCTGCTATCTTTCTCGAACCGGTACCGCCTCCTCGTAACAACCAGGGCCAGCACCGTTTGCTGAAGCCGATGGTGGGCAATCTTGGAGGGATTGCACCATGTGAACTCAACTGCTAGAGGTCGCACCAGGAGTTATGTACGACTCAATCAGCCACACACTACAAGGTTAGACCTCCCTTGGGCGATAATACATTTGGTTTACTATACAACCACATTACTTCTGCTCTCGCGCTGCCCAATGGATCATTGCAAAACACGACCAGTAAGACGTAAGTGCCATGTAGATCGAAGAGAAAGTATAGTGCAGAGTTCACTTATATTCATGTGTATATCAGGGCTATATACAGTTATGTTCAAGAGGATCCGGAAATCTCGCTCCTATGTCCAGGTAGCAGGAGCTGGACGACGGACTTACTGTGCCAGATCGTTCTGAGCAAGCAGGTTCTTGGTGCCATCATGCACGTTGCTAATGACACCCTCGATCGCGATCTTCTGGAGGTACTCGCACAGGCCCGACGCCGACTTGCCCTGGCCCATAAAGTACGCGGCCAGACCAGCAATGTGCGGCGTGGCCATCGAGGTGCCGCTCATCGACGTGGTGCCGCCACCGACTGCCAGACTCGTAACGCTAACACCAGGTCCGTGAATGTCGACCAAGGAGCCGTAGTTAGAGAAGGAGGCAACGGTGTCGGCCTTGTCGGTCGCGCCGACCGTGCACGCCGACGGCTCTGAGGCAGGCGACACTTCGCTAGCGTCGATCGGGTAGACGGGGCAGGTCTTACAGTCGCGCTTGCCGTTGCCAGCCGCGACGGCAACGAAGATCCCCTTCTTGACGAGCGCGGCCACGGCGTCATTGGTCGACTGAGAAAAATCGCCGCCGAGGCTCATGTTGACAACAACGCCGTTGGGGCAGTCACGGTTGGCGGCATCCTGCGCGACGTACTCGAGACCCTTGATGATGCCGTCGTTAGGGCCCCGGCATTCGCCACTGCTGCTGTCGTAGCTGAGGACCTTGACGCCGTAAATAGTAGTCTTCTTGGCCACGCCGTAGGTGGTGCTACCGATGGTGCCGGCGACGTGAGTACCGTGCCCGCAGTTGTCGTTGTTCTGGCCAATGAAGGTCTTGATTTGCTCGGCGCGGCCGCCAAAGTCCTAATGAAGGATTAGATTACGACTTGTAACGAGAAGAGAGAAATAAGACCCTGTTGGGTAGGGGGAAGCAAGCCGGGTCGATATGTCGTTACCACGGCCACTATCGCAGGGTCGCTTGTCTTGATGGACTTACAGAGTGCGAATCGTCAATACCACTGTCAACAACATAGGCGCAAGTTCCAGCTCCTAGTGCCACAATGTCAGTAAAATAACTCCGCAGCCAGCCAGACAAAACAGTGACTGAAAAACTGCAATCACTAGGCCACTCACCAGCAGAGGAGTCGTAGATGTAGCCGCTCTTGCCAGCGTCCCTGTGCGAGATGCGAGACAAACCCCAGGTAGACGAGGTCTGAGTGACGGGCGAGTAAGCCTGCATGCTGTGGTTTTGCTCAATATACTCAACCTATAAGCCAGGATTAGTTTTCTTAAAAGTTCCATTAACACAATTCGGCCTCTGAGCACCACGTACATCCGGGTGGTCGCGGAGGAGGCTGAGGGTAGCAGCATCAAAATGACCAGAGAAGCCCTTGAAAACTTCGCTAAACATCTGGCCGCCACCGTTGGGCAGCTGCTTCATGGCCTCCTCGACGGCAGAGAGAGCGCTGCCCTCCTTGAACTTGACGACATACTGGTCGGCGATCAGGCTTTGAGCGCCGGCACCGCGGGGAATCAGAAGAGGAGCGGGCTCGGATCGCTTGGCCGTGGGGACGGCGACGGCCAGAGGCAGGATGGAGAGGAGCACGGACAGACGCATGTTGGCGATTTGTAGTCAAGATGTTGATAGTGTCTGGGCAGTTTGTCTGAGTCGTGGGAGGGGATGAAGTGCTGTGAGCTGGATGATGAGATGAGTTGCTCATTGAAGCGGGCAACGGAATATATTTATATTTCGTCGAGCAGCCATCGCCGACGTCCGATTCTATCGCTGTGGGTACAATTTTGCTGAGCTTCGATCTACTAGCTCAGCTCAAAGAGCACTTGACGTTATCGAGAAGGTCATTGGGTCGGTCGCTTCCCTTCGGCCAACCCAGAGATCAACTACAGCCCCATAACTAGTCAACACACCATCGGATCTTGCACAGTTTCCCTTTTGTGTAGTAGCTTGGGCAAAGAGTGAGTTGTTGTTTCCCCAGGAGGCAGCTCCTAGTTGCTCCCACCTGCCAAGTACGGCCTGGTATGGCGGGACACGGGCTATGCTTAAATTAGGCTGATTCTCCGGATCCTCGGGGGTTGGACCTCGGCGGCGCTCTGCGCACTAAGATCCGGTGATTGTGTCTTGTTAACCTTGATGACACTCGTTCGTGGAGTGGATTGAGTCATAGGGTAATCGGCGTCGAGTAAAACCATACAAAGCGATTGACGTAAAATAGTCTCATGACAAATAAAAACTGCCTAACATCGGTGTTTAATCGCTGTGTCTAGACGCCGTGTGTGCGCGACCAACTAGTAGCCCACAGCACTTAATTGCGGGACTTTTCTTCCGTCGTATGATTCTGTTTCAAGTGCAAAGAGCACATCCTTATCGTTCCAGCACATTGGATAAAGGCTAGACATGAGACCATCGCCTCCCCAGCTGCCCAGCTTCCAGCTGATAGCAACCCGCTTCTCCACATACTCCCTTGTTCATCACTATCTATAGGGCGGCTAACACGGATGCGAGCCAAAAGGGCCATTGGTCCAGCAAATGCGTCCTTCATCTCACGCGAACCGCTTTGGCTTCTTGGCATTGTCTCTACACTACCCAAGTCCGGCCATTCGCAAGTGGATCGGCAGGGACCTGCCGAGATCAGTAAATGCTTGACGACGGTGTGAATTCGAGCCATGATAACACAGGAGGTTTGTTTCTGACACATTCGATTAGAGTAAGTGTTTTTGACAGATTTAGTCAGTGGTGACACTGTCGCTTTAGTCAATGACCTTGGACAAGTGCTGTGTGTTTTGCTGTTATCCAGCTCCGCCGAACACTAGATGGGATGCGTAGATCTGCGTTGTGGCTGGAAATCAGTAAATATTTTATGCTTAAGTAAAACTCAAACGTGCTAGCTGGCTTGCTGTTGTGCTGCGATGATCTTTACCGTCCTCATCGTCATTCGCTGGCGGAGGACGCAGGTTCTTGTTATAACCACCAGCCTCTCCGCGAGGGCGCCGCCGCCAATCCCACGCCTGCCTCCTCCCGAGCCGCACAACGCCCTCATCCATACCGACCTCCAGCCGCCGCTGTCGCCGCGCACCTGCCGCACCCTCCGCCGTCTACAACCCGCGCAGCCGTTCGGGACCGAGGCCGCGAGTCAGGGCAGTGGCGGCGGCGCTCATCTTCACGCACGGTGAGCCAAAGACCAACCGCGTAGATTTTTGTTGGAGATGGAAGCGGCCGGTAGCTGGTTATCAGCTGGCAGCCTGGCCGCTGGTTTTTGTTCAGCTGGTACTTTCGTCCGTAGGGGGTCGTTGCTATGTCCTGATGTGTCTCTGGAGCGGAAGAAGTGATTCCAGGAGGGAAGCATGGAGCTACGGTCGCACATTAGCTAAGCCACTGCTATTAATATAAATAGATAATCACTGTACACACTATATAATAAAATTTTATAATAGGATTTAGAATTATAAGTACTCTGCGCTCGCGGCTGCAACCCTCCTCGTGGCATCATCGCTGGGTATGCCTGAGCTCTCCTCGGGCGGGTCAAAGGCCACGCCCGGACAGCTCATCGTCGCAAACAACATGAACCGGCCCTTCCGTCTGGACCCGGGCGCAGAAGGGAATATCATCATCCATCAGGGACAGATGACAGCTAGAGAGACATCTATGGATCTCATCCTAAGCGAGCAAAATGCACAACACAGTCAGGCAGAAGTGAGCTACAGCGCTGGCGACCAAGGAACGTATAACTTTGCCATCAGGCCAGTCGAAGGCGGGGGCTTCCCCAGAGCAATCGAGGTGATCCCCTTGGCACCGCGTCCTTCTTCTCCTCGGTGCCAGCCCTTGGTGTGGTATCCCGGACAAGGAAATGCACAGCAATCTAGGGGCCAGGACCACACGCCGCTCCGCATCTTCCTCCATGAAGCCCAAGCCCATGACCCACCAGCATTTGGTGCCAGTAAGGAGCAGCGGGTTTTATAATAGTCCTGTTTTAGTAAAGGACGGAATATGATGACACTGGATGTAGTAGTCTTGCTGCCGGAGAAATCATGTTAGACTAAGATGTCCAACGTTGTGAAGGTATTTTAGGGTTTTTCTAGTGCAAATGCTAGAGCAGGTTGGAGGCTACCTCCAGCAGCCACAGATTTATTATTAGGCCACATCAGGTAGTTAACTACTGGTACAAGGGAAGTGGGTGATGTTCATGTTGGCACGTGTATATCCACTTCTTCTTCTCTCTCTCGCCGCTTGCGATTAAAACGACACTAGTTAGGCAGTTTAATCATACATTGATCATACATTGAAAGTACAACATTAATACAACTACTTGCCACCTCACTATTTCTACGCGCGGCACATTTACCATCGGAAAATGAATACGGTAAGACTGCATTATCCGGCTCTTCTCTACCCTGCTAACTCTCAACAGGTAAAATCGTTCTGGTTCGTAACCCAGCTAATACAGCTAATCCGTTCCGACTAACACGGCACCAATCATCAGGCTCGGCTGGGGCTCTCTCTGCGTCGGTACGAAAAGAAACTCGCTGGCGTAATGCTGTCGTGAAGAAAAAAAAAAGAAAAAAAAGCAACTACTGACTTGGGTATTCTCAGCTGGCGCCGGCGCATACTACTTTGCCAAGCGAGAAATCAACGCCGATCGAAAGGCGAAGCTCGAGGCTCATCGCCAGAAACGACAAGATATCCGCGCCATGGAGTACGGCCCTTCGCAGCCCATGATCCCGAGCGAGAACGGCGTCGCCACAGCCGCGAACTCTTCCACGAAGCCCGACTACGCCGGGTCGCCCAGCGCCGAGTCCAGCAACGACCCCTCGCCCGCGGGTCAGGACCTAGGTATCGAATCCGCTGCGAAGCGAGAAAAGGAAGATGTCAGCCCATACGAGAGTAAAGTAGGCTATCGCAGCCGCAAGGGCGACCGCTTCTCGTGAGCGTGGTTCTGAACCAGCGACAAGCGACAAGCAGTCCCGGAAGATGGTGCTACTTTTGTACACAAGTTCGGATCACTGGTCCTGCCTCAAATTGTTTAAAACCTGTACAACAAAAGCAATATATTAATGAAGTACATGATCAATTGCCCTTTTTTTGCACACTCGACGCACTCGAGCAGCCCTGTTTCTACTCATCTGTCCAGCTTTTCCAAAATCAGGCCATAATCAAGATGCTGCTCCACCGCACCGAGGCTTTGCCGCTATCATGACAGCACGGCTCCACCAACCGGCCAACCAGCAGCCAGCGCAAATGCTTCCCTCCCACCCACCTTCATCGCCAGTCGCCAACATCACTTCAATCACTTCAATTCTCCGCGCCGACCGCGATTCTGCCATCATGGCGTCGCCTGAGCTGGCCATTGCCAAGGCTGCGCTCTCCGCCTCCCTCTTCAAAGCCGACCCCATTTCGCTCACCCGTCCCGAGGTCGACACCCTCTTCCCGCTACTCGACGCCACCATAACCCAGTGCTCGCGAGCCAATGTTCAGGTTTGAAGCTTCATCAGGGTGGGCTATGCATTTGCTGGTTTTGCCTTGCTCATTCTTAGCATCTGTGCGCCCTCTATTTGGTTGTTTGCACCGTCACTAAACATATTTTTTTACCACAAAAATCGCAGAGCTGCAAGAACTGGATCATGAACCACATCGCATCCTCATCCGCGAGATGCGTAAACCTCGCCAAGTACCTCGCTGCGCTTTCCAAGTGCTTCCCGACCGACACGAACACGCGCCCGAGCCTAAAGCGCAGGCGTCTACATATTCTCTATATTCTCAGCGACACGCTACACCACTCCTCACAGGCCAACAACCGCGTCTGCGCCGAGGCTTGGGCACGGCACCTGGTAACGCTCACGGCAGCCGCAGCTTCGTTTGTCAGGTGCCCAAAGCACAAGGCCAAACTTGAGGCGCTCGTCTCTCTGTGGTCTGGCAAGGAATATTTGCCTGCGCAAGTACTCTCGCAACTCCGCGATGTCGTGTCCAAGAACGGAATCATCAACACCACCGCCACCGCCACGCAGCCCGACTCCGCGCCTGCGATGTCGTCCCTCAAAGTGGCCAAGGACGCTCCCTACACGCTACCCTCCTTCCATGGTGATGCGTCTACGCCGTGGTACGATCTCCCCGTGGGTACATGGCTCCCGCACGTGACGCCAAATTCAGCACGGCCCATGCTGCCGGACCGCATCCGCCCAATTCAGCTGTCTGCTGGCATCGCGGACGCACCCCTCATCGACGCTGTCAAGCTCCTTCTCCGCCGTGCCGACCGTATATACGCTAGCAGCAGTAGAAACGAGGCGGACGCCGCCACCACCGACCATGTCGAGACACCCTCCCAGGAGGATATCAATGAGCTTGGGGAGCGCTTCGCTGCGGACCCGGCCACCGGGGTCGTGCTCCACGCGGATACGTACTACGGCTGGTCGCGCCCTTTTTGTGAAAAGATGAAGGCCCGGCATAAGCAGATGCCGCTCAGCGACTCCCGCGGCAGGTCATACTCTCGTTCGTTGTCGTCGCAATCGCGCTCGCCGTCGCCGTTGAGGAAGCGCCCGCGTCGGTACTCGACAGACTCCCGCAGTCGCAGTCGCAGTCGCAGTCGCAGTCGCAGTCGAAGTCGCAGTCGCAGTCGAAGTCGAAGTCGAAGTCGAAGTCGAAGTCGAAGTCGAAGTCGAAGTCGAAACCGCAGTCGTACGCCATCTCTGCGAAATAGAACCCAAAGCCGAAGGAGCAGCCCCAACCAGCGCCCTGGACAGAACCCCCAGCGTCATGACAAGAACGCGGCTTTCTCATCAGACTTTGGAAGGCAGCCCCAGCAGCCGCTGCCACCGCGTCCAATCCCACCTCCTCAAGCTGGCTTCTCGCTGCAGTGGCCTCTACCGCCGCCGCCGCCGCCGCCGCCGCTGGCACCAGTAGACATGCCCAATTGGACGCCTGACCCAGCTCTTATGAGCCAGATGATGGCTGCATGGTCGGCCAGCCAAGGGCTCCCCCCTCCCCCTCCCCTTCCGCTTCCTCTCCCGCCTCAAGGCTACCCGGGTGTGCCTCAGCAGGATATGCATGTGAGACGAGGTGGATATGGCAATCAGCGTGGCAGAGGAGGTTATGACCGCGGCCGAGGGAGATGATGGGTCCTGACTACTTGGGTCTCATTGTAGTCTATACTAGAGGGATGTACTTTTTGACCCTATGGCATAGACATATGAAAGGTGGCTTAGTGTTGCTACAGTACCACGTTGCTTCACTGTGCGGTGTGTACAAAGTTAAGCGAAAATAGTAAGGTCGACCACTCCCACGACTTGTGTAGAAAATGGCGGTTAATTACCAATACTTGAAGTATTCTTCTCATCTCGATGGAGTCGACTCTTGCTAAACTCGCAGCGCTGTGCCTTGCCCATTATGATGTGTTTAATTGTATTGTGTGTTTATTAGTCCATAGGCGGGAGCAAACGATAGGGCTTCCAGTCGATGACTGCTACCCTGGACAGGCACCTCAATAAATCTAGCCGAGCGATTCCAAGCCGCGAGTTAAAAAATAAAAATAACAGATTGAGAGCACTTGGTTCATTTCACAAACAATCTAGCCGGTGCTACAGGTCATGCCCGTCCTCGGTTACTGAACTCGTACCTCACAGTCAGCAGCCACTCTCAGAACGAGCTGGATCGGGGACAATCGGACTCGTAGCGAGGCAGTGCCGGCCGAGAGGAATTTCGACTGGTTTTAGAATATCGCCGTGCATGAATTCTACGTTGCAAGGGTTGTTTACTACTCTCATCGCACTCAGGGAACAACCGCAAAAGCACCTAGCGGAGGTCGCAAGCACCTGGACGTCTTGGATATCGTCATGTTGCATCGCCGAGGTGGGCAGTGCACGACAGGACAGTAATACGACCCCACGCAGGTGCCTGGGATTGGCGGCGCCGGGCGTAACCGTGGAGAATGAGTCGGCGTTGCTATTAATATCTAGGCTCAATTTACGTTCATAAGAGGTGGCTGCGAACGGCTGGAGAGCGATCGGAAAAGGTTCACCTTTCTCGGTACCGAGGTTATTCCCATGAATGGTTTTTCATCACGAGTGTACAAAGAATCATGGAAGCAAGACAAACCAGCTCAAGTTTCGAGACGATGCTGCCTTGTCCTTATTCCAAACTGCGTTTTAATGACCCCCGGGCCGCTGATTGATTACCAGAGCCCTATCGTCGCAGGACAGGGGTGGCCAATGCAAACCTCCACTAACACTACCACTAAACGGGGATGCATCGACAATTTGTGGAGAGGAAACTGAATTTCTGACCAAAGTGCTTGGTGCATTGTTTTAGTCACCATACGCAGAATAACAGCGGCTTTGTATGTATCGTGGGCGAAAGCCGCCAAGGTGCAGCTGTCAACACTAACAGGCCCCCGGGTTGGCACCCTTGGCACACAGTTGGTAAGCCCAGCGTAGTATTCTCATGGCCAAGGCCCCTCTATCTTGTTTTCGGAAGGTTCTCTTAAATAAGCTTAAGCCCTCAACCACCATTGTAGTCTATTTCCCAAGGGTTTCAATCGTCGCGCTTTTGGATGGGACACACCTTTGTTCTCTGATACGACCCTTCGCATCCTCTTGGTTGCGCCACATCACATCCAGAACCCCGAATACGGGGAACCTAGCCTCCATACGACAAATGAAGTACACCGCACTTACAGCGGCGACCGCTGCTTTGGTCGCAACGGCCGCCGCCGGAGGGTATGGCCAGCATGACGGACGAGCCTGGACGCCTGCCACCCGGACACAACCACCTGTCGCCGGTTTCACTCTCCGGCCAACACTGGCACCGCGTGCGCCACGCAGGGGACTTGCTCTCCGCGAGGACGACGACGATGATGACGACGACGACGATAACCGGGCGGGAAAAATTACACGCGGCTCCGTGACGTCGTCGGCGACGGCGACTGGGAGCGGGGGCGGGGGCCGTTCGGCTACCATGACGGGACGGCCGGCGAATACTTGTGGCTGGGACAGGAATGGCGGTAAGAATTGGCTTCCTGAGGAAGTCCTTTGGAATTGCTGTCAGTTGGGCTAACTTGGCCGAATATAGGTGGCTTCTATGCGTGCGCCGATTCGCGCGCCTCCTGTCAATACACCAATGGCGTCGCAGGGTGCTGCTCCGGGGATGGCTGCAAGAAGATTCCGAAAACGTGTGTCGCGCGGGGGAGCAATTGCGACTCGGACAACGACGGTGGAACACTGTGCTGGTGAGTGTTCGTCAAATCTATTTGGATCAAACCAGGGCTCATGCAAGAACAACGCAGCGGCCGCACTTCCGCCCCGGCATGCTTTACGTGGCTCATCTCGACCTCGTCGGCCGGCAAGCAGGAAACCTACTCCATGTTTGGCTGCACCGACAAGCCCGGGACCGACACACTCCTCCCTACAGACCCAGCCGGCAGCAGCGGCGGGGGCGGCGGGGGCGGGGGGAAGACTAACACCGGCGTCATCGTTGGCGGCGTCATCGGAGGCATCATCGCGCTTCTTCTCATCGTCTTGTTCATCTGGTACGTCGTGAGACAGCGGCGGAGGGGCCGGGCCGAGGACGAGAAAGCGACCCGCAGCCTGCGTAACTCGCAGCTGTCACGCGGCGTCGCGTGGGTCGAGGGCCAAGACTCGCCTGAAGACGGCGAAAAGAAGTATTCTACGTACGGTGCCGAGCAGGCGACTGCCGCCGTGCCGCGACGAAGACCAGTTGGCAGCGGGGGTCGCTCGTCGGTCGCGACGACCGTGGCAGACGGTGACGGCACCGGCTCCCCGAACGGGCAGGTGACGTACTCGGTATCAAGCGCCAGCATGACCGGCAGTCAGGCCGGGACGGGTGTCGTTTCTAGCGTGTCTCCCGCTCCACCGCCGCTTGACGGCGTCGTGGAAGCTCCTGATACGGCTGTGGTGCACGGGGGCGGCCCTGGCGCGCCGGTTGAGGTGGCGGGGACGTCGGTGACGAGAAACATGATGCAGAACAGAGCAGAGCTTCCGTAGGGGCTTGACAGCTGCGCAAGATTATTTTTCTAGGTTTCTTCCTTTTGTGGCTGAAGCTGCGCGGAGCTATGATACCAACGTTGCGGGACACACTTCGACTTTTAGACTCGTGAGATAATGAGAAGCGTTTTGTACCTGGTTGTTTGATTTTGCTAGTGTATGCAGGTTTATAGTTGAATGTCCGTCTCGGCAAGAGGAGTGTTTCTCGAATTCAGCATCGGAACTACCATCAAAGCTTACCAAGGCTGAATGCCGTCGCGGGTAATGACCTTGCCAGTATCTGCATCTCTTCCACCCTCTATTATATCCTTGATAAGGCCACCGCCGAGTGCAGGGTCGCCGGCGCCCATCTTTTTGTTGGCTTCTTGATCACCGCCGAGACGCGTTGCCAGAAACCCCGGCGAGGCGGCCCAGGTCTTGACGCCGTCATCTTTGAGCATGCGGTGCCATTCTCTACGCGCATATGTTAACCACTCCGTCTTTTCTCCGTATTAGCCGGTTGACGAATGGCGGAGACTTACCTCATCATCATGTTCAGCCCAGCCTTAGAACAGCGGTACGAGGGGACCATGGTGCGCATTTGCGTCTTGGGCCAGCCTTTATTGGAGGGTTTGTTGGTTGGCAGGTCGCCGTTCTCGGTGCCGGCGAGGGTTGATGTGCTGCTGGTGACAAAGAGAAGCCGAGGGTCGCTAGAGCGCAAGAGAAGGGGCGCGAAGGTATGCGTCATGACGTGCGAGGCAGTGACATTGATGTCCCATGCCCTGCTCCAGCCCTCGCGCAGAGAAAGTTCGCCGCTGGTGACGGCGAAGTCGGGCAAAAGACCTTGGAAGGGTTCCAGGTTAGTCAAGGAGTCGCCAAAGCTGCGTGTAGGTGAAGGCACATACCAGCGTTGTTGACGAGGACATCGATGCGGCCATATCGGCTCTGTATCAGCTGGGCGGCATCCTCGATGGACTTGTCGGACGAAACGTCAATCTCCAAGGGAACCACAGTGGTTGCTGCAGAGGGCAAGTTGCGTGAGATTCCCTCGGACGCCGCCTGTGCCTGGGTAAGCCTGCGTGCGGATAAGAGGATCTCGTAACTGGCCTGTTGCGAGGCGGCAATGGCTTTGACAACTTCGAGGCCGATGCCGGCGGCGGCGCCGGTAATCAGGACAATCTTCTTATTTACCACGGTCATGGTCCTCCTTGTCAGGGGCATATGCAGAGATCAACTACTGGATGACAGCAGGGGAGTCGAGTAGGGGTATTAAAGCGGCAGAGATGTTAGGATACAGGCGACCCCTCTTCTCCTGGTCTTGGTCTGGGCGTGCATGAAGAGGGTTGACGATGTGCTGATGTAACCTCTGTGCTTACATGGGAAGCTAGACTGCATGACGAGCGGTGGAACACTGGAAAGCGGACGGACGATGCAGGGCCGGAGCTCCAATGGGTGATGCCGATCGAAAAGTGCTGGCTTACCAGTGATGCGTACTGGTCTTTGTAGTCAGCGGGAGGGGGGGCTATCTATGATGGCGGGAACGAAGACTGACCTATGAGACACTTGCATAGGGGCATCTTGCGATGCTAGTGACGGGAACTGAGCACCGGGTTTGGTTGACTTTATGGCCAGCCCACGCACGTCAGTCGGTCTCAGTCCTGCTGGTGAACTTGTTGAGGATACGGCTTTTTGATCTGGATAGACCGGCTCGGCCACTTGGGCGGCGATTTTGTCATGCGCGTCCACCACACGACGATCAGCGTTGCAGACGGCATTTGCCTTTCCATTGGTAGATGGACTGCCACAGCGGCAATATTGTTAGGTAGATGCCTGAGGTTCAAGTAGGGAGCCCAGGCCAGGCTGCTGCCGCTGCATGGAAGCAGACAAGCTGGCCATGGAATCACCTATGCACCTCGCTAATCTGTACGTAGGCATTCGTACTGATTCGTAGGTGGTCGACTCTGTTTAGTGGAGCAGTGCATGTAGCCTGCGACATGCATACTTTTTGGATAGTTGGTGCGTCGTCGGCGATTTGGCAGTGCTGCAAGACAGGATGTCGAGTGCTTGATCCGAGACGGCGAGAGCGAATACTGCGTAAGAGTAAAAGTACCTATCTATGTACCCAGCTAAATGGGCAGCCGTGACTAAAATATACAGTCCCTGGATAGTGGGGCCTTGGCGCCTTCAGCGGCCCAAAAAGTGTCTATGTATCAGGACAGCTAGGCCGATGGTGTTGTCACTGCCGCGCACAAAGCCATTAGGCGAGAGCCTCATTTTGCCGCCTCCTTTTTTTTTTTCCCGTGACTACTTGTTATCGCTTGCAACTCGGGGTTAGCCCTCTTTGCCGCCTAATTGTGTCGTTCGATAGACGAATATTGTCTCAGGCGTGGCAGTGAACCCGCCCCGCCCTAGACAATAACTTTGTGCAGTCGGCGGCCGGCAATACCCAGGGGCTTCAAACACACAATATCCCACAACCCTCAATTCAGACACTCTTCACACCAAGAGTCTTCCTGCGTCATGAGCTCCCAAGATCTCGCGTCCGGGACGCCTCCTTCCGCCCCGAGAAAGACGCCCATCCTCGCCCCCACGCCCGACAGCAAGCCTCCCGCCCGCGCCGAGCTTACCCCCGATCAGACAGCCAAGTACGAAACACTGCTCACCAAGGCCAGATCCTGGACGGAGGTGACCTGCGACAAGGAAAAGGACAAGTCCGGGCCTCTCACCGACCGCGAGCGTGCCTGGCTAACCCGCGACTGCCTCCGCCGCTACCTCCGCGCAACAAAGTGGAATGTCGACGACGCCGCCAAGCGCCTGCAGGCCACCCTGGGCTGGCGCCGTGAATACGGCCTCGACGGCTTCACACCCGACTACATCTCACCCGAGCAGGAGACGGGCAAGCAAATCATCGTCGGCTACGACAAGATGGGCCGCCCGTGTCAGTACCTCAACCCGGGACGCCAAAACACCGACGCCAGCCCCCGACAGATTCACCATCTCTTTTACATGATGGAGCGCGTCACCGACATGATGCCCGCCGGCGTCGAGCAGCTCAGCCTCTTGATCAACTTCAAGCAAACCAAGAACAGACAAAACACCAGCGTTCCCGTGTCCACGGCCCGCGAGGTCATCCACATTCTCCAGCACCACTATCCCGAGCGTCTGGGCAAGGCGCTAATCATCAATGGTTCGTGAATTGGATTAGGGCTACATGAACACGTACTAACATGTCTTAGTGCCGTGGATTGTCTGGGGCTTCTTCAAGATCATCACCCCCTTTCTCGACCCCGTCACCAGCGAGAAGCTCAAGTTCAACGAGAACATGAAGCAGTACGTCCCCGCCGAACAGCTGTGGAGCGAGGACTGGTCCGGCCAGATGGACTTTGAATACGACCACGACACGTACTGGCCGGCCATCAACACGCTCTGCCAGCAGCGCCGCGAGGCCAAGATGGCGCGCTGGGTGGCCGCGGGCCGGCTCATCGGCGAGTCTGAGGACTACCTCTCCGGGGGCGTCGACACGAGCGTCTCCGGCTTCACCTACAAAGAAGATACCCAGGAGGAGCTCAGCAAGGAGATGGCAGCTACCAGCTTGGACGAGAAGACGCCCGTGGTGGAGTCGAAGCCGCAGGCTGCCTTGTCGACGTAGGTTCGACGCAAGGCATGCACTGCAGTGTTTTCGCGCACTAGTTAGAAAGGCCATAGACAAGATGCATAGAGATAATTTCAAGCAGCTTGTTTATTTGAGAATCGGCACGTACCTTGGTGGCCGTCTGTGCCGTGCCCAGTCTCACACCCCCCACAATGCCAGTCTCGAGGCAGGTTGCTCAGAGGTTCTGGTGTCGTCGCACCTCACCGGCGTTCCATCACGACGAGCATGACGTATGTAGTCGAGCCACTATAATAAACAGCCGCGGACCGTATTCACGCTGACCTGGTGAACGAACGTCCTAACTTAACCAGGCACTAACATCAAGAGGGCGCTACGTTATATCTATCGTCTTCCTGTTGAAAGCACGGGCTGGCTGCGCCCTGTTGGTGTGTGTGGAGGTGGCCACGTCGGCCTCGCAGTACCTTGCAGCAATCGACACATTCAGTGTCATGAGTCACAAAAAGGCACAAAGATTAGCTTCAAGGCGTCCAAAAAGGCAGACTTGTTTTTTGTTTTAAACAAACTAACTAGCTAGCGTGTCTGACCTGGAAGAAATCTCTCCGCCACCACGGCTCTTGTGTCTGGTGACTGACTGTGAATATGCACCTGCATCCTCACCTGCAACACGGCCCGCTCACAGTGGGCGGGCACTAACACCGTTGCTCTCACTCAAAGTGGCTGAGACTTCTGCTGCCAACAAAGAACCATGTATGGATTATCATGTACAACAATTCCACACAGACTTGGCGTACTCCTGGTCGCTGGGGATTCTTTTCTAGTCAAGACGTTACACAAACAAAAGCGGTGGAATCACCGCCGACTCTTGGGCCGCAACGGTCCGCGGAGTTGGGGGGCTCCGGGCCCTCTGCACCAAGACAAACTACGCAGGTCGGTAATCTGTCATCTGTAGTATCTGTAGTGTTCATGGCAAACCCCAGAGTGCCGGGAATCGAGCCCCCTGCAACGTCGGGGAGCCCTACAAAGCCTCCCGGCGGCGGCGCACTTGTTTAAGCATCCCGATTTCGCCGGGCGAGGCTTTGTCGCTGTGGGATAACTCTGTACCTAACGTTACCCTGTTACGTTACTGGCTACCTATGTATGTATGTAGGTACAGTAGCTACTAGTTAGAGCGAATGGGCAACCCCGAGCTTGAAGTCACTCGCCCGGTCACACAAGGAAACCACATTCTTCACCGCTCCGCCCCGCGGAAGTGACTACATAAAAGTCGCACCATGGCCATGGCCTTGTCTACCTATCCATTCAACTCGTCAGTTGACCATGACTGCCCCGGCCTTGTCGCAGGTTCCGGGTTCCTTAAATGCTTCTGCCTGGCTAGAGTTGGCCGCGACAAAGTCACACAACCGGTAAAAAAAAGTCGGTACTTGTCCAGCGACCAGCAATGCCTGCCCAGCACCAAGATCCATCATGTTGCCGCCGGGGTGCATATACCTAGGTACGGCACTTGCCATTATTATGGATTTGTTCATCTCTTGACTCACTCACTGTTTCCTGGTTTTGCACGACGCTCGAGTAATCCGCGAAGATTGTGTATGAATGCAGCTGGTGCTTGTGATCAAGGACGACAACCCTGTTATCAACCCCGTTATTTAATCCAGGCTGCCTTGTAATACGAACAAGTCGAGGGAGGTCAACGCCTGCCATTTGTGGCCGTGCCGCGATGCCTGCCTGCCTGACCAACTACCATGCACCCTCTTTGATTGGGCCCGAATGCCGCAAGCCACTGCCCACCTGCACGGTACATGCGCGCCCGTGTGAGGATCACCATCCATCTGACCTCTAACCGCCACCTTTTTGCACCTTTGTGCAGCCTGTTGTGGCTGGCGGTGGAGGACTGGGCGCAGTAGACGTGGGCCAGACTACCCCCAGCCTGGCCCGTCTTGTCTTCTCTTCTGACTTGTGACTGAGCATGTCGTGCGACTTGCTTATTGCTTTTTCAAGCTCGAGTAGAAAAAGTTTTCTTTTTTTTTTCTCCTATGACTAACCTGTAATCGTAAGATTTTTATTTTGATCAATCAATACGTACGTCGTAAAGCATTGTCCTGCATCGTGTCTGCCTAATTTGCCGGCTTGCAGTAACTATGTAGTGCAACAGTGTCTGCGGCCGCTCGTCGCATCCCAGGTGCTGACTCTTGGAGTAGATGTATATATTCTACCCTCCTCCAAACCTCAGTCTTCTATTTTTTTGTCTCATATTCCCCTAGCTAATCTTGGCTTATTATTCCTCTCCCGCTTTTTACACTCATCACATCTTAGCTCTACTGGTATAAGTCATCGGTATCAGGTCTGTTCGATAGTGCTCTTTGAGCACCCCATCGCTCTATCGCCGCTCACCCCTCAAAAATCGTCGGCTCTGGATTTTGGAATGGGAAATATGGCTTCCATGATGGAGTCGCTCTCGATTCAATTCTCGCCTCTCTTTCAGCTCCCACAAAATGTTACAGACAATAGCGCAGCGTCAGGCAACCACAGCGACACGACAAGCCCTGGCAGCTTTCCTCACGGCATCATGGATACACTCCTTACAACCGCCGGCTCTGTCTCGCCCTTGTCACAGCTGCTCCTCTTCGTGTACAAGCTTCTAGGAGCACAGTTCGGTATCGATCCGTCCCTGCTCTTGACTGCCGTTGGCCTTGTCTGGGCCGTGTCAAAATTATCCAATCAAGTCTACCTTTACTTGGACTCAGTCATCGAGCGTTATATCATGTGCTCCATGCACATCGACGAGGATGACCATTATTACGATTACGTCATGAAGTTCCTGGCAAAGCACCCGTCCATCAAACGCAGCAGGCAGCTCACGGCACAGACCGTCTACCGAAGCGCTTGGGATGACGATGATGATGAAGAGGACGAAGATGATAGCAGGGCGCTGTTCCTCACCAACGGCGGCGACGATGAAAATTCGAACAACAGATATCTCAACTTTTCGAACCAAGCTGCGACTTCCGCGCCTCGCTACATTCCAGCAATGGGAAGGACGAGTTTTTGGCACAACGGCACCTACTTTAGAGTCACCCGACTCAAGGAGGCCTTTGCCAACAGCAGCGGCTGGGGCCCGATGAAAGACGTCGAATCCGTTTACATTACCTGCTACGGCAGGTCCATTTCTCCCCTCAAAACATTGCTTGCCGATGCCAAGGCACTCTACTGGAAGGACCTGGCACAGAAGACCACCATCTATCGACCTCGTTCCAAGGAACAGCGCCGCGACTACAACATGTGGCAGCAGGTAGCCCGACGACCCGTTCGCCCCATTCGCACTGTTGTTCTCGACAACAAAGAGAAGCACGATGTCCTGGCCGACATTAACGAGTACCTTCATCCCGCCACGCCCCGGTGGTATGCCTCGCGCGGTATCCCACTGCGTCGGGGCTATCTTTTCCACGGCCCGCCAGGTACCGGCAAGACCAGCTTCTCCTTCGCGCTAGCCGGCGTATTTGGAATCGATATTTACGTCATCAGTCTTCAGGATATCAGCATCACCGAAGAGGATCTTGCTGTGCTCTTTACGAACCTACCGCGTCGCTGTGTCATTCTGCTCGAGGACATTGACAGTGCCGGTCTCCGACGTGAAGGTGGCGATGCTGACAAGGACGACAAGGACAAGAAGAAAGAAAAGGAAAAGGACAACGACAATGAAAAAGAAACAGAAACAGAAACAGAAAATGAAAACGACAAGGACAATGGCAAGGGCAAGGAAAAGTCCAAGTCGAAAAAGAAAACATCCAAGTCTAGGGATGATAGCAAGGACGACGATTCGTCCTCGAGTGACAGCGACAGCGACTCGTCGTCTAGCGAAGATGACTCCAAATCGAAGAAGAAGCGCCGGCGCGGCGGTCGTAACGAGACGTCGAGAAAGCGCGGTTCCAAGAAGGGCATCTCCCTGTCCGGCCTCCTCAACGCCATCGACGGCGTGGCCTCTCACGAGGGCCGCGTGCTCATCATGACGACCAACAAGCCCGAGTCCCTGGACGAGGCGCTGGTGCGGCCCGGGCGCGTCGACGTGCAGGTCGGCTTCTGCCACGCGAGCACCTTCCAGGTGGAGGAATTGTTCCTGCGCATGTACGAGCGGCCGCCGCGCGTGGTCAAGACTAAGGACGGCAGCCCGGTGGCGGCGGACGCCAGGCAGAGCGACATGCTCCTCGAGCAGGCCAACCTGGCGTACGAGGTGGACGTCAAGGAGAACGAGATGCGCAAGATTGCCGTCCAGTTCGCCAAGTGCATCCCCGAGGGCAAGTTCTCGCCGGCCGAGGTGCAGGGCTTCCTGCTCAAGCGGAAGAAGAGCCCGCGCAAGGCGCTGGAGGAGGTGGACGCGTGGGTGGAAGCATCGCTAAAGCAAAAGGACTCCAGATCCAAGGTGGTAACGGTGCAATAGATTTAACGCGGAGGGATGATTGTTGTTTTTCTGAAGAGGTTGAGGATGAGAAAAGGAAGGTTGGGGCCGCAGGAGGACAGGGGCAGGCTCCGTGCATTTAATTATACAGCTGTCGACATGCACTCATCATTTGTCATTATTTGTTGGTATTTTGATTTTTTGGCAATTAACCACTCATATCTGTGTTTTTATCGTATTTATAAATAAAACTTGCTTTTTCTGCTTGCTACGGATGTTTCTTCTCCTCCGAGATTAGTGCCTACCCTGTATCTATCAGACAGCACCTATGTATGTCCATAGGGTAGAGCTGTGAATGGTGGGGCATCGTCACTGGCCTCGTCTCCAACCAGTTGCTTCTCCCACCAAATCACCCTTCCCGCTGCAACCAACCCTGGACGATTTAGTAGCGACGGACCATGGCGAGTACACAACCAGGAGCGCAGGCAGTCGCCAAAGAATCGGGTCTACGGCTGCCCAGCAATGGCAAGACCATTTACCACCGCCCCTTGAACCGCGCCAAGGGCGGCGAGATGAGCCAGGCGAGCTTTGCCTACCTGTTTGGCGAGATGGTGACGTATGCGCAACGGCGCGTCAAGGGGATTCAGGAGCTCGAGCAGAGGTGAGGAAGCACCCAGCCAGCACCACGCCATGAGCTGCCTGCAAACCCTACCTAGTACCAACTGACCAACCCCAACTCTGCAGGCTGAACCTCCAGGGCCACGCCATCGGGCTGAAGCTGCTCGACCTCCTCCTGTACCGCGAGCCCGCGCGCACGCAGCTGCGGCCGCTCAACGTCATCGCGTTGCTGCACTTTATCAAGCAAAACGCCTGGACGCACCTGTTTGGGCGGCAGGCCGACCGCCTCGAGAAGAGCAACAACCCGGACACGCCCGAGGAGTACATGATCATCGACAACGAGCCGCTCGTCAACCGCTACATCTCGGTGCCGCGCGAGATGAGCCAGCTCAACTGCGCCGCCTTTGCCGCCGGCATCGTCGAGGGCGTCTGCGACGGCGCCGACTTTCCCGCCAAGGTGACGGCGCACACCGTCGCCGAGGGCGACATGTGGCCGGGCAAGACGGTGTTTCTGGTCAAGTTTGCGCCCGAGGTCGTCGAGCGGGAGGCATTTCTGGGCAAGACTTGAAGAAGCTTTGAATTGCTGGGCAAGACTGGAAGAAGCTTCGTGCGAGTTTGACCATGCCCATTCGGCGACGGGACGGGACATGGATGGATGGAAGGGCATTTTGATTTTGGGTGCACACGGAGTTGGGAGTTGAGCGTGCCAACGAGACCATTTTTGGCTGCGTCACGCAGCGCATATACATAGCATCATTAGGTATTCATTAGGTTACGGAAACATTTTGTACGCTGGTTCAGTGTGTTGGCAAATGCAGTCGTCGTAAAGCATAAAACGTAGCGCTCGCTGTGTAGGTGCCAAGCCCATCATGTCGCCTGGCTGAGCCGCTTGATCAGTAAACTTTGTATGCACCTAGTCGCCTCGCCTCATCATCGAGGCAGGTTCCTGACTCCCACGGCGCCCTTGCCGCCGCCCTTCTTGCCGCTCGCGTCCGGCCCCTTGTCCATGAGGGAGGCCAGGCCCAGGTCCTTCCAGGCGGGCTCGTTGACGCGCTGGGTGGCGCGCTGGATGCCGAAGGCGGCGTGCTGGTCGGGCACGACGTCGTCCTCGTCCTCGGGGTTGATGGGTTGGTGCTGGGGCGGCACGTAGATCTCGTCGTCGGGCAGCTTGTCGCGGCAAAAGTCGTCGAAGAGGTCGGCGTCGGCGGCACGGTGCATGTGCACGTAGGTGAAGTGGGAGTCCTTGTTCTGCGGGAGGTGGTTAGCTTGGATGCAGAGTTCTGTCAAAGCGCCCTGGACGACAAGTTGTGCTGGTTTTCTGGTTTCTGGTTTCTTGGAGACAAGGGGGACTCACCATGCTGGAGAGGGGTTGGCGCAATGGCTCTTGTTTTGATGATTCGTTGACATTCTTTGGCTGTGCCATTCCTTGTTGACACTGAACTGCCTGCATGCAGTGGAGAAGTGGAGGGCGGGGTGTGTGTGTGTGTCGCCTAGAATGGCACCTATGTACCTATGTACTGTATGTACCTACGTATGTGCATAGGTAGCTATGTACACTGCTACATATGTTAATAGCTATAGTTGGATAGGCAGTAAGTAGGCAGAAATGGTAGACTGTGTGCAAGTACCAACACAATAATCTCCAAAGTGATGAGATTTATTTTGTATTTATATATAATTTCTAGCTCACGACGACGTGCAAGTGAAATTGCGACCAATTGAGCAATGGCTGGACGAAGCGTGATACATACATGTATATGGCCACGCCGCTTCACCAACAAGGTCCTTGCCACATCCGGCGTACACCTCTCGGATGCATTCGCACAACAAACGGTTAAAGTACCAATGCAATTTAGTTGCAAAAAATTCAAAATTGTTTCAAGCTGTGGAATTTGTTCGCAAGCGGGATTTTCTTTTCGTACTTTGAATATGTATCGCCCCGTGTTCTAGCAGCCCATCTTCTACCGGGTTGTGTATCCGCCGTCAATCACCAGGTCCGACCCGGTCGTGTACGAGCTCGCGTCCGAGATAAAGTACACGTACGCCGCCTTGAGCTCCGACGACTCCGCCGGCCTGCCGACCGGAATCATGCTGTTCCACAGATCCTGCGTCTTCTGGTCGATGAAGTCGGAGAGCCCCGTGTTGATGTACCCCGGGCTGATGGAGTTGACGCGGGCAAAGTCGCGCCACTCGTTGGCCAGGGACCGGGCCAGGTGGATGCAGCCGGCCTTGGCCACGTTGTACGATGTCTGCTCCTGCGGGTAGTTGGCGATGTGGCCGGACATGGACGCGGTGATGACGAGGGAGCCGTGGCCCTGCTTCTTGAAGACGGCGCCCACGGCCTTGGCGCAGTAGGCGGTGCCGTTGAGGTCCACCTGGATAACCTTGTCCCAAGCCTCGGAGGTGCCTTCGACGACGCCCGAGTCGGCCGTCATGCCGGAGCTAGCGGGCGGGGCAAGTTAGTTGAGAGTGGAAGGGCGAAGAGTACGAAGAGTGAGAGGTAAGTACACTTACTTGGCAATGAAGCCGTCAATCTTGCCAAAGTCGGACACGACCTGGTTGACAAAGGCCTCGACGTCGGAGTACTTGACCACGTTGAGCTGGTACGTCTTGACCTTGACGCCGTACGTCTTGGAGAGCTCCTCGGCGTTCTTGTTGGCGCCGTCCGGACGCGACGAGTAGGTGATGGCCAGGTTGGCGCCCATCTCGGCGCACCCGCGGGCGGCCTCGATGCCGATGCCCTTGGCGCCCGAGGCACCGGTGACGATGACCGTCTTGCCCTTGAGGCTGAGCAGGTCGAGGACCTTGGTGGCCTTGGGAGCTGTGATAGGCATGGTGGGGTTGGTTTGGGGGGATGTGTTTTGGTAGTGAGAGAATGTAGAACACGAAGATATCTCGCGGAAGGAGAATTGATACTTTTAGGCGTGTGAATGGATCAAGAGTAGGATGATGGAGGGGGAGGGGGATTAGAGCTTCTTTTAAGGAGCCGGCCGGACAGCTCGGGTTGCTGCTTGGGAGCTGCCGGGGCTGGGGATCCCCCATTGGTGAACTATCTGACTTCCCCTCTATAAAAAGCCCTGTTTTCATTCAGCCATGCGGCTCGAGGCACTTCACTTGTGGCCCTGCATCAAATCAAAAGTCAATGTATCATAGGAGCTTCCGGGCCGGGATGCTCAAGGTTGTCTGCCCCACCAATGGCGTCACTGAGAGGCCAGGAAATGGATGGGCTGGGTGCGTCGAATGATAACTAGCATTCTGGGAACGAATAGGGTAAGTTGGTACCTACAGTACCTAGGCACTAGCCAGCTTCGGCGGCGGGGTCTATCTTGATGATTGATGATTGGCAATTGGCAGGCGTCAGTTGCTTTTCCTGCTCTGCACTGCGCAGTAGCCAAGCCACTGTTCCAATTGTCGCTGCGAACAGGGCAAGTTGCTCCCTCTCCAGCAGTCAGCTCACAGCCAGCTACATAGCGCATTCGTGCCGCAACTCAGGCCTTTCTTCTTACCTAGAGCCTGCCAGCCTTGTCATCAATTCATAATCATCACAATCATGCATGTGACTGCGGGAGGATCTTCCTAGCCCGTCCCTTGGGTCAAGCATTGGCAGCCTCGATGCGCCAAGCCTGGCTTCATAATACCTTTGTCATTCTCACAAATAGCCTTGCATTAATCAAGCCATCCAACTTTGCGTTTAGCACAAAAGGATTGCAAACGAATTACCAATACATGCACCGCAAACCGCCAGCAGCTCTCATAATTTGAATCCAATTTTTATTCATCTTGGTGCAGCTGCGTCATAAGCAACATCTGCGGGGAATCATTTTCTACCTAACACACCCAACCAACACACACGCCCATCATACATACATTCAATCGCACACCATCATGAAATAATTTCTCTGCTCCAAGAAAATCATGTCCATAAAATTAATTGGCATTTACCACTTGGATCCAGGCAGAGCAATCGGCGAACCCTTGTCCTCGCCAGAAGCACCGCCCAGTGTCAGAGCAGCGTTGATAACACCAGCGAGGCCTTCACCCGCAATGAGACCGGCTGCAATGGCGAAACCATAAGCCTCGAAGCTGTTGCGGAAATACTTTTTCCACCACCAAGCCGTGATGGAACCAAACAAGACGGCGTTGGCATAACCGGAATCCGGTCCCAGCACCCACGCGACGCCAATCGCCATCCAGTTGGGAAGGTAGGCACGGTACTTTGCGCGAGAGCCCACCAGGTAAAAGTTCTTGAACAGAGCTTGGCATGCCGCAAACACACCCAGCACAATAGCAAAGATGCCCGATTTGAGAGGGATAGGAACATGGGGCTCCGTCACGGCCTGCGCGACAGCCACCCACGCGGCAACCGACGGAGCAGCAAAGGGACACTCGCCGTCCTGCAGTTCCGGTCTCCAAACGCAAGGGTAGGCAGCCATGAAGAGAACAAAAATACCCGGCGCCAAGAAGATGGAAACGATTGCGCCGATGCCCTGCGCGTAGAACTGCAGATGCGGAGGTGTCTGTAGCAGAAACCCAACACGAAAGTCACTGACCAGAGAGGTGGCCACGTCGGCCGTTCCGGTAGCTATGTTTCCGGCAATCAGGTTGATGCGTTGAGCATGCGACTGTTCTGTGCCCTTGGTGATACCGCCAAACACAAGCTGCGACGCCTTCGACGACGCAGTCAAGGGCGTGACATCCGTCACCGCACCTCCGTAGATGCTCATAAAGGCAAAGATGATGCCCAGAAGGCAGGCAATGATGGCATACCCGGCATTCATCTGGAACTGGAAGTGGCAGACGAAGCAGGCGACAACCATCATGATAATCGTGCCGGAGAGCCAAACATAGACAGGAACCTGCTGCTCGGCAGTGGCAAAGTCCTTGGTCAGGCTGTTTTCGTCGTTGACCTTGGCGGCTTGCTTCTCGAAAAATGGGCTGTTCTTACCACGCTTCTTCAGCGCAGCATCAATGTTGACCGACATTTCGCGGAAAGCAAAGAGAAGGCCATCCCAGAGAACGCGGATGTGGATGAAGAACTCAATCAGCGAGTAGACCAGGAGCACCATGACGCCAGGCCAGAGCATCCAATAACGCGGAGATGCCTTCCACCCGGGTTCGCCAATGCCCGTCATCTTGCCAAAGCTGGCAACCACACCCCATCGCTCGGCGATGACTGGGTCCTTGGCATGGAGGTACGGACGAGTGCCCTCACACTCGCCATAGTGAACAAGTAAAGGTCCGATCAAGCCCCAGGCAACAACAGTACCTCCCCACCAGGAGAGGGCCGTGTTGAGTCCGACGAGAATACCAGATCCGAAGAATGCGGGAGTTAGCTGGATATACCAGCCCCAGTTGTCGATGTTCTGGGCCCAGTTGGTGTAGCCGCTCCAGATGTAGAACCAGGAGAAGATGTGCCAGTTGTGCAGGATGCCGTCGGCGTACTGGGAGACAATGATGTGAATAAAGGCGCCAGCAAAGGCATAAAAGAGGGCCTTGACCTTGTTCATGGCATCGGCGGCACCAGACGAGACCGAGTGCATCGAGCGAATGGCGACAGCAGTGGCGGTTGGGGAGGGGAAGACGAGGTTCAACTCGCGTGAGACGTTGATGATGAAGAACTTGCGAAGAGGCACCGCGGCAAACAGGCCAAACAGGGCACAGACAATGGTCAGGGTCAGAATGCGACTAAAGTCGCCCTTGGGATCATCAGAGAGCAGACTCAGTCGGTACATGGCAGGCAAGCCGGCGACGAAAAGACCGCTCATGCCACCAGCACCGGTGGCGGCAGCCTGGACAATCGAGTTCTCCTGGGGACCAAAGCGTCCACCAAGGAAGGAGATGTGAGGGAAAGCCTTTGTGAGAAGGGTGACGATGCCATATCCGAAAATGGCACCAAACATGGTGGCAGGAAAAGTAAAGCCCGTCTTGAGGCCTATTTTATGTTAGATACTTGATTAGTCAAATGGGTGCTGCAGGTGGTGGATGGGTGGGTAGATGGTGATTGGGCTTACCGAGATAGACGTTGGAGGCATTGCAGAGCGATCCAAGAACGATACCAATCAGCACAGCGCGGACAGTAAGAGGATTTCTTTCAGGTTCAACACCCTTAAGAGGGGGGAAAGAAACGAAAAGGTCGTCAGGCAATGCCTCGTCGTCTGAGCGATCATCTTCATCTCGGCTGTCTTGTCGGTGCTTCTCATCGGCAAAGGTCTCGGGCAGGACCTTGGCATCGCCGGTGGCGTCGGCACCGGGCTTCGCGCCAAGAATGTGTCGCTCCTGAGACTCGTGGACGAGCTCAGGTTCGTTGTGCAAGTCGGCCACGACAGGCTTCTGGCCTGTGACGGCTGCGTCGTGGTCCATGCTGGGGAGATCTCCTGGCGGTAGACGCCAAGAATATTCCAAGGTAGGACGACCAAAGTGCCACCAACACAAGGAGTGTTGTTATGTGTGGCTGGGTGGTTTGCCAGCAGACAGACAGACAGACAGGCAACTACCTAGGTAGGATGTAGAGGTCAGACAGGAAGTGACAGTGTGGGAGTGGGCACGAGCAGCGTATTTATTATCTCAAGAGGGCAGGCACACAGCTACCTCCATGATGCAGCCAGAATAGGTAGGAGGTAGTTCTGGGAAGAGCTGAATGACTTGCGGTAGGCAAGGCAGCTAAGTTAGGTACTGTAGGTATCCGGAGGTACAGTACGGAGTTACTACCTCAGTATCTGTAGGGAGGTACCTATCCGTTAGCCAGGGACCAGACCTTTAGGGAGATTGTCAGTGGGAGCGGGCGTCGCTCAACCGAAGCGACCCCCGAGTGGTGGCGCCAGCCACACTCTAGGAATAGGTACCTACGGGAATAGGTAGCATTCAGAAATACCACCACCGCATCATGCTTGTTCGCTAGCTCACGCCATGTCACGCCAACAAAGGAACTTTTTCCCCTTGCTCCATCTCAGGCCGTGGGGGCTGATCAACCCAGCCTTGCTCCCTGCCAATAGCAGCCAAGCCACTGACTGGTCACCATTCGCCCCCGCTGGACCACTACTCGAGGTTCGGCCGAAGCAGCAGTGTAAGCTTGATTGTAAACAGCCAACGAACTACTAGTTTTTATGCTTGGCAACAGCCACTGTCGAAAGTCAGTCCACAGGCTAAAGTGCCTCTCCACTGGCATGACTTGGGGAACGCCAGAATGGCCTGGTGGTGGATGTCTACACCTTGTCTACCGAGTAGTTGGTGCCCATAATGACATTGGTACGCCCTTTCAGCGTACCATGAGGCTCTGCGAACATTAGGTGAATACCCATTTGGCAATTGGGTCAGCAGCGGTGAGGCTCCCGGAACCTAGCCAGTAGTACCCTCACTAACTGCTCTATATGTACTGCTTGCTGGCAAGGGACTCACCCTATCCGTGCCTCTATAAAGTATCTGCAGCTCACCACGGATTGTTAAACGAAAAAAGAAATCCCCCGTTGTGGCGTCGATGTGGCGGCCGTCGGTACTTTTGGGGTCCCCGGCTATGTGACCAACAGGCTACAGCACAGTAGGGCGCGGGCCAATTCCGTCTCTCCAGACACCTGGCCTTGGTACAAAAAAAGTCAGTCATCAGCGAGTATAACTGGTAAAAAGTTACGGGTGGCTTGCCAGTAGTTGAGTGTCTAGGAGCGGATGCACGGCCGCATACCCAATTTTGGCAAAAGTTTTCCGCCTCTGGGTCCCAGGAACCTTTGTATCTCTTGGCATGGGATCCGTTACATGCATGGGGTTGTCCTCTCCACCTCCATGAGCACAGTCACAATGTGGCACGATGGCATAATATCCCCACTGTCGCTTCCTATCTTCGGGGGCTGGGGGCAACCGATTCAGAAGGGCGGACAGATGTACTCTTCCTCCCTTCTTCCTTCAAGCCTTATTGACAAAGACCGGATGAGTCGGTCAGGCCAGTAAGCTCCGTCTAGCCTTCGTAACGTCAACGGCATTTTCGGCAACAAGGCTGTGGCACAAGTTCTAACCAAGTCAGCATAGGCACAGGTAGGGTTGTGTCGCATTCACAGGACTTTTAAAACTGGTCACGGCCCAGCCCATGTTGAATTCATTGGTCTCCCGTCAAAAGGTCAAATAGTCAAAAGTTCATGGGCCTCTGCGTTCGCCACCCATGCCCACCCACTCTGGATGGAGATGCATTCTGCCCGCAATCCACCCCCAAACACGACCACATGGCAGAGGCAGACGAACGCCCGCTTATTATGCAGGATAGGAGAGGATCATTCCCATCCTGAGCTCCTTCACATTCCGCACGTCATGTCCCGCCCCGAGGCGAACTCAGCTGGCCTAACGGGCCCTCTGTCAACAGCTGGGGCGGACGCCATATTCTCCGCGATGGCGCCGCCACCGCCGCCGCCCACCTCATTTCACTAGTTATTCGCAAGTTCCAGCAACTGGTAATAAAACTACCCAGCCAAGTGTTTATTCCCCTTTTGTGGCTTGACCATTTCTTCATCAAGCCTCAGCTACCGACGGAGTAGTAGCTGGACCAAGTCTCGGGTAATTGCTGCAGAGAGTAAGAGCCTGATTGAGAGACCCAACTGCTTAGACTCATCTCCATTGCTAAAATTTTTGCATTTCTAATCACCCTTTTGCTCTTTTTTAATCTTCTCCGACTGGAGCAGGCAGGGTCCCCTGTTGCCTGGTTATTCTGGCAAATGCATGCATGTACACTGCCAAGTGCAAAGTGCTTCCGTTCCACTTCGCACAATTGGCTGAGGTGAGGCCACCGACAACGTAGAGGCAAAATTACTTTCATTATTACAATGCTATTTAACATGGATTAGTCCAACTCCCTAGCTTTCCTGAGTCAACCCCAAGGACCCCGAAACCGCTTCGACGTATCTGCCCTAAACGTCCCCATCAGCGTCACATTCCCCGCCTTGGAGAGCTTGAGCTCTGAATGCTTGGCCTCCCGCCTCGCCTCGTCAACCGCCCTGGCACCGGTGGCCACCAAGGACTGCACCTGGTAGTCCCTGAGGTGCGCCAGACTCTGCTGGTCTCCCTTGAGCGGTCGCGACAGTTGAGTGTCCGACGACAGCTGTGCGTCCGCGATGCCATCTGCATCTGGCGGATCTGTGCACGGGCATGTGGATTCTGCATTGGCCAATCTTGCCAACGCCATGTGTCGTCGCCTTGCCAGGGCGCGAGGTGTGCGCGACGCCAGCGGTCTACCGTCCTTCCCAGCGTTGCTCAGGACTTTGCCAGACGGTAAATGCAGCAACTCTGCGTCGGCCGTGTATTTTTGAGAAGGCATGTCGTAAAAGTCTTCCATTTCGGAAGAAACATCGAACCGGCAATGTCCCTTGGCTATCATATGGTGCTGGATGCCCTCGACTGTTCGCCGCCGGCATCCACACTGGATGCACTCTTGATAGCCGTGAATAACGAGATGAAGGTATGCGGCCATGGTCTCGGCATCGACGGTAAGATGCTCCTGGTGAGCCATTGTGAAGCCGTGCATCTTGGACATGTGTTGTAGGCTGTCGTGGAAGCTGGTGCTTTCTGTGTTGCAGAAGAGGCACTGGCGAGCATCGAACCGCGCCGCGGCGACGGAATCCGGCTTCAGGTCCTCAGAATCGGAGTCTCCGTCTGACTCCTCATCAGATGCAGCATGCCGACTTGATCCCGCGCTCCCTTGTTTGCGAGGAGATGAGGAAGGAGGTGTGATGACGGTGCCGGGCTCGGCGAACTTAACTCGCAGCTTATAGACACTAACACAGCAGGTTAGCAATTCGTCGCAATGGCTGTTAGTGGACCGGTTCGCTACGCACTGCGAGTCGCTCTTTGCGTGCTGCCGCCAGACGCTTGGGCTGTCTAGGGATATGTCGCAAAGTCTGCAAAAGGAAGGGGCTTTGCTCTCCATTGTTGCGGTTGAATGCTTGCTGTTTTTTGCTCCGCTTCCTATAATTTTGACGGTGTTGACGGTGGTACTTTTGTTGAGTGTTGTCTCTCGTGGGTGCCCAAGGAAGGACGAGTCGCTAGAGTCGTTTGCTGTGAAGAATGATTTGCTCGTTCAATCTTGATGAGATCCAGCTGTCGATATATATATACCCAACTATGTGATTAAAACTGCATACCTCTTCATCGGAGATGCCGCAGTTCAAAGTTTTACACCTGAGTGCTGGTTGACTCATATTGCCTAATCGGGACGCCTCCGCAATGAATCATTATGCTAGGCGAGGCAAGTGCTACACCCTAAGCTGAAATCGGTAAATCGCCTAGCCCGCGGAAGGTTATCGGGAACGCGGGTAGCTGTGAGTCCGAGATAGCTAGACGCAACGATACGGGAACAAGGGCTGGAAAAAAAGGAAAGGCCGGAGGGAAAATCTCTGACGCACAGCATGACTGTCTAAGCGACCAGGATCGATGCAGGAATTCCAGAGGCAAGGGCAGGAACGAGTAGGCAGAACATACACAACCAAGCACAAAAGAACAACACGGGTGGAACAAAACATCCTGCTGCACTCTTTTCTGGGTCAAAGAGTCAAAGGGTGGGTTCGACAGATGGCGCAAGACTTTGTGCGACAAGGACCAGAGCAAAGCATGCCATGCCCCAGCTTCTTGGTTGTGTCCTGGGGTGCGTACTTGGCACAATAAGAAGAAGCTTTCGCCGCGCCTTGAGTAACGGCGGCTAATAAGCGATTCTCACAGAAGGCGGGTGATGCTACCCCAACACCCCGATCTTGGGCCTAGCGAAGGGAGGGTGCTTCAAAGAGGCCTCAAGTTTCTTTGTCTTGCTATCAAAGTCACCAGAGTGACTAACCAACCCCAAGTCAGGGCGATACGCCGCAAACTTGCACGTGGTGTCCTGTGTCGCTGTGCAAGCTGTTACAGTTACAGGCGTGTACGCTGTTAAGCACGCCTCACCTGTTGTGTAGCCCGCGGGTCTCGTTGTGAAGCTCACTTTAACTTTATAGATTCTAATGGCATAATGAGAGCCGACGATACTTTATTGACCAGTAGTTTATTCTCTCTTTTTTTTTCTCAAAAAAAAAAGGCGTGTGCGCATGGGCACGCGACAAGGGCTAGAGCGGTGCACCAGAGAGTCTTTGGCGGCTTCTGCGTCTTCCCATGCCACGAGACACGACACGACTCGACTCGACATACACTAGTAGCCTGACAGATGAGTTGCCAGTATTATACCATGCAGTCGTGCACAGCTGATATATCACAGATGAAACTGCAATTTCACTCCTGACCATCTATTAAACGTGGCATGCCGCCAGCCTTGGCCAAGATTTGCGACTTTAACGACAACAGCGATTCCGTTTCGAATAAAGTCAGCGTCAACATCAAAACAAACAAAACACATACATAATGGCCAAATTAGAGGAATCAGAGGTTCCCGAATTTCCCTACTCTTTTGGAGAATGCAAAGAACGCATGCGGAACTTTTATGACAAGGGCGACTGGAACAACGTAGTTGGATGGTCCAACAAGGCTATTGAGGCTGTCGTAAAACTCACCGGCAATCACGCCAGCGAGATGGCTACAGTATACTGATACCAATGGTCAGCTTACAATGGCCTAAGAGATGTCAAAAATACGGAGGCTGCATATGCCGAATGCACCAAGTATTCGGTGGCAAGCCAGCAGTCGCCATGATGCCCGCGTTACCGTACACTAGGTTCGCCCAGGGTCAAGTAGGGGTCACCGTATTGGTGACTTTGCATTCCTGTCAAATACGGGTTCACTTGCTAAATGATTGGGGGGAACACTGTTTTTTATGTCTACCAGCTGGCTTACAGCCTGCAGCTCAAAGGGAAGGCCCTTGCTGTTGCGCCTTCATCAATACTGGAGCAGGTGGACATGGCAAGCGGCAGCCCCTTTGCTCAATACATACCGCAAAGCAATAGACTTGTTACTAGAATACCAACAAAAACAAAACAAAAAAACAGAGCAGTTCACATATCATCTCATTCACTTATTTACCCTGCCGCGAAATCGCCCCATCTGGAAACGCATCGACCACTTTGCGAACACGGTTCGAAGCCACGCAGCCAACCAATTCTTAACCTCAACTACCCTTACCCGTCATCATGTCAGACATCGCCGGGTTCAGCGCCAGGTTAACCCAGCTACATAGCAATGTCGGTCGGATTATGCGCAGCCGAAAACATATCAGGGACCTTGCTGACGCTAGCCTCGTTGAGTGGGTGTTGCTACTCGCGGACCAAACCATCGCCGGCGTGAGAACGTGTTGTGATGGGATGTTGCAGCCGGTCGAGGCCTATCTCCAGAAAGCCCGCGCCGCGTGTCTGGTTATGCTAGGCCGGCTGAGGGAGGCCGCTGAGGCGCTCTCGCGCTGCAGGAGCCTCCTCGACCAGTATCCGTAGTGGCGAGGGCCGGACCGAGCAACTATCAGGGCGAGTTTTGAGGAGCACATTATAAACTTTTTACATGCTCGGGGACGGAGCTTGTGCGATGGCTTATTGGTGATGGGAATGGGGTTTGAGTGCAGCGCATGCAGCAAATTAAATGGACATCAAAAATACAAAATATTTGTGCTTTGCTTGATTGTTCCTTGTCGTCTTGCCGTTGCGGTGAACATCTTGCACTGACTATCCATTTCGGGTAATTTCCCAGATCGGGTGCTTTGTTTGTGCGCTTAGACTCTTCTCTTGCTTATTAGAGTTACCAATTAAGTGTTTAAACCGATCGTCAGGCGTTTCACATCCCGGTTTGTTTTGCGGTTGGGGACGTACGATTGTGATAGTGTAATCGGATGCCAAGGCGGAGTCAGCGCGTTCCTGCATGAGTCGCCAACAGACGTGCCAAAAGAGAAGAAGAGAAAGGAAAGGAACTCAGGAAACAAAATGCATTTTTTCCATCCTCTCGGCCGCGAAATTTCAACCTTCAAACAGAATCCGGTACGCATCATCCAGCCCACTACAGCTCCCTGCGCCGCGGAGTTAAGTCCGCCTCAGGCATCTCCTTGTATATCCGCTCGGGCGGAGCCCCCTTTTCTCCGAGACGGAGATAGCCTCGACCAGCTTCTGCCTGCCACTCGCACGACGCCAAACAGAAACAGAAACGCCCACCAGTTCGGCCCCTGCAACCCTTGGCCTATTAGCTGACTTTACCGTGTGTTACTCCCAAGACAATTCTTCTTTTGGCCGTCCCATCGGCGACATGCAGAAGCAGCAGCAGCAGCAGCAGCAGCAGTCGCCGCTTCACACCCAAGTCCGCCGACGTCGCCGACGCGTGCTCTCGTGCATGGTATGCCGCCGCCGCAAGATCAAGTGCAACCGCGAGCTCCCATGTCAGCACTGCACAGAGACGCAGCAGGCTTGCCACTACCAGGCGCCCCCATCGCCACAGCTGTGGCAGGCGTCCACCGCGGCGCCCCCGGAGAAGCAGCAGCAGCAGCAGCAGCAGCCTCGCCCCTCCAACAATTGGCGGTCCGTCATCTTCTCATCCCAGAGCAACACGCCCGAATCAACGGGTGATGCTTCTACCAGCCACCAAGATGGGCCCCCGCCTCCTGTCTCGCTGCACAGTCCACCGCCATCGCAGCCGTCCGCGACCGCGACAGATGATGGTCCAGCCAAGCCGCCTGACTTTCACCCCCCCAGCAGCTTCGTTTCTCAGCTGCCGCAGCGTGACTATCGTATCCCCACCCGCAAATCGGCGGCCCATGATTCGCAGATTGTCCTGGACAACACCCGTATCCTACGATGGAGTCATTGGATGGGTGCTGGGCAAGAGGTCTGCCATGCTCCAAAGCCCCAAGTTCACTCGTCCACATGGTCCTAAGCTAACACCATTCCACACAGTTTGGTCCCATCTTTGCCTGCTACTTGGAGACCCTGGGTCCTCGTCCGGAATCTACCTTGTCCCCAGACGCCAAGGCAGTGCTCGTCGAAGCCGCCGAGGTGCTGCAAAAGTGCAAGCGGCTTGCACGCTCCTCCAAGATCTGGCGGCCCAGTCGCCTCTTTGGCATACAGGGATATGACCTGATGCCTCCTACGCGTGAAGTGGCAGACGTCATGACGCGGGAGTACTTCAAGTATTTCGAATACACCATACGCATCCTGCACATTCCCTCTTTCTGGGAATCCTACACTAAATTCTGGGACAATCCAGATGCCGCCACAATGGACACCCGCCTCACAATATTGCTCATAGTTGCTCTTGGTGCTAGCTTTCAGGATCGTAGCCAGCCTTCGCTTGCTCTTCCGAATATCGCTCAAGTTCACCAGTGGATATACGCTGCTCAGGCGTGGTTGGCCGGCCCTGTAGAAAAGGATCGCCTGGACATAGGCGGCTTGCAAGTATACTGCCTCCTCATCGTGGCCCGACAAATCTACTCGGTAGGGGGCGACCTTGTCTGGATGTCGCTCGGCTCTCTTCTACATCGCGCCATGCAACTTGGCCTGCATTACGACCCGTCACACTTCCAGGGCATGTCCATCTTCAAAGCTGAGCTGCGCCGCAGGCTATGGTACACTATTCTGGAGTTTCTTGTGCAGGCGTCATTGGACACTGCGATGCCTCCTAGGATCTCAGCGGAGGACTTTGACACTGAGCCCCCAGCGAACATCAATGACAATGACTTGGATGAGGACACTCCAGTGCTACATTCAAAACCCGACTCGGAACACACCGACACCACGTTACAACGGCACATCATCCACGCTCTTCCTGCTCGCATCAATATCGTGCGATATCTCAATGCCATCAAGACGGACCTCTCATACCCAGAGGCGATGAGCCTCAGCACAGCCCTGAGTAGTGCACAGAGACGAGTGACATTGGCACTTCAAAACCACGCAGACAAGGTATCCCCCTTCCAACGCAACATGATCGACTTTCTTCTGCGACGCTTCGTCGTGCCGCTGCACAGCCCCTTTGCCTGCGAAGCCCGCACCACGCCCGCCTTCCACTACTCCCTCAAGGCCTGCACCGAGGCCAGCCTCGCGCTCATCAACCCCGAGCCAGACGCACGCTTTGCCCGCATCCTCGACTTTGCCGGTGGCCTGTTCCGCGAGGGCCTGCGGTCGGCCAACACGGCCATCAGCCTGGACCTCATCGTCCAGACCAAGACGCAGCAGGCGGACGGCACGCTGCACCGCACGCGTACCGTGCGCGAGGCACTCAAGCGCTCCGTCGTCGACATGCTCGAGCGCTGCGAGCGGCGAATCGCCAACGGCGAGACCAACGTCAAGAGCTACGTCTTCCTAGCCATGGTACTCGCCATGACGGAGGCCATGGAGAGCGGTGAGCCGTGTGAAACGAAGATTGCCAAGAGTGCGAAGGATGCTCTGGCGCATTGCTACGGTATCTTGGAGAATAGTCTCGGCTCATTTGTGACTAGTACGACGCCGACCGAAGCTGCCTTCCCGTTGGACGCAGGACTTTTGGGCATGGATATTGGGATGGACTTTTTCTTTTCGGATACCGGCTTTTCATAACTCGGCACTCAAATGCTACTTAATACCGATTCGGCAAATTCCACAGACTTGCACCAATCTCACACTACACCTCGTCGCACTACTCTATCGCCGCCTGCCCATGCGATAGTCATCTCCGCCTCGATGCCACCAACCACATCTAGCCATCTCCGTTCTTCGGCCGAGAAGCGGCTCAACTATATGCGACGGATATAACTAACTCCATGAACAGGTATAAAGTCGTCGCTTTTCCCTGTCTCGTTGTATGCGCTGCTTCATAATGTCAGGTTCTTCTACATCGGCCTTCTTCAAAACATCCTCGTCCATCTTGTTATTTCTTGCAACACGCCCCAACACCAACCCATGAAGGTCCTGATCAGCGGCGCTGGGATCTCCGGTACCGCGCTCGCCTTTTGGCTCGCCAAGGTTCAGTTCGACGCGACCGTCGTGGAACGTTTCCCATCTCCCCGCACCAATGTCTACAGCTCGACCTCCGCGGCCACGGCATCGACGTCCTGCGACTCATGGGCCTCGACGCCGCGTTCAAGGCCAAAGCCGCCCCCGAGCAGGGCATGCAGGTAGTTGACGGCGCGGGGCGGCGGCTCGCCTACCTGGCTGCCAACACGTCCGGAACGGGCAAGCAGAATTTTACGAGCGAGTATGAGATTATGCGCGGGGACTTGTGCCAGCTCCTACAGGATGCCTCACTCGAGCGAGGGCGCGTCAAGTACTTGTTTGGCACGTTCATCAAGGAGTTCAAGGACAACAAGAACGGTATCGCCGTAACGTTCTCCAACGACTGTGTCGAGACGTTCGACCTCGTCGTCGGCGCAGACGGGCAGTGGTCGCGCACGCGCCGCATGATGCTTGGCACCACGGCCTCGCCAGACCCCGCGCTGCATCTGGTCCCCGGCATGTGTGCTGGCTACTTCACCACGCCGGCCGCCGTGAAACCCGGCGAAGGCTTCGACTCGACGCTCTACCTGCCCTCTCGCAAGCGCAGCGTAATGACTCGCCGAAGCGACCCAAGCAGGCTGCAAGTGTACATGGCGTGCTCCGATCCCACCCTCCAGACGGCTCACCGTGGTGACGTGGAGCGCGAAAAGGCCGCCTTCACTGCGAGCTACCAAGGCGCCGGATGGCGCGTGCCAGAGCTCGTCGCCGGGATGCAGGCGACCGATGACTTTTACTGCGAGCGCGTCGACCTGGTGAAGCTCGACGTCGGTGCGTGGCACCGCGGGCGTGTGGTGCTCCTCGGTGACGCGGCGTACTACCCGTCGGTACTGACGGGCATGGGAACGACGTGCGCCGTTTGTCGGCGCGTACGTGCTCGCGGGTGAGTTGGGCCGGCTCACGTCCTCCGGAAATCAAGAGGAGGCTACGCATGGGAGCGTGGAGGACGCGCTGGCGGCGTACGAAACGCGCTTCCGGCCGTTCATGGACCAGGTTCAGCTGGGTGTGGGCGAAGATTAGTGGATGGCGCGGCTCATGATGCCCTCGTCAGGCGTGGGCATTGCAGTTTTCAACTTTTGCCTGTGGGTGGTTACGTTTTTGGGCATCTCGCTGTCGTCGAGCTTGTTTATGAAGGAGGACGTGCGAGAATGGGACCTGCCAAAGTACTCCAAGCTAGTTGCAAAGGAGCCTCGCGAATGAGTGTCTGGGGAGCAGGCGACCATGTATGATATGAGATGCAACAGCCTCTCCCCTAATATCTAGACAATTTTACTCACTGCCAACTCGATTGTATATACCGCAACCATCAACCGAAACTTTTTTTGGTGAAGAAATTTGACAGTTCGGTGTACTACTCTAGATACCCTCAAAGCCAGCGCCACCAGGAACCTCAATTATATGCAGTATGCTCAGCGGGACCATTGCTTCCGCTTATCTGCCATGCGAGGAGAATTCGAGCTTGCGCACGTGGTCATGAGAGCATGCTGTGGCGTTAATAAGATCCCCATACGACTCACATTCAGCCGCGAAACTGCCAGAGAAGAAGCACCAATCGTGCCATGGACATGGTTCAGCTAACCTCCATCCCGGTTTGTCTTACACCCTGCAACGGTGTCAATGCCCGAAAATCCACCGACGCGAGACACAGCAGGGGTTCATGGATTTACCAAGAGATTCAAATTGTCTCGGTAGTGAATAGTCACCTGCTGTATAACGCATGAGGCGGTGAAAAACGGATTGTCTCAGAGATGGCTAACGTCAGGCTCCCTCTTCAGGCCGTGCCTGGCCGGTCTGGGGCTAGAGGCTCGGGCCGTTGTTGCACTGCAAACACCGTCGGAGAACGATCATTCATTCATTAGGCTTTTTTCCTTGAAACAGGATGCACATGCAATTCGATAAGCTATGAGAGTCTCAGAACTCTTCCCCGCATTCTATAGTCAGAGCTGTGATGAGGGATGGACCATATTGGTCGAAGTCCCTAGAGTGCCAGCATCAAAACTTGAAAGGCAACTTGCATCAATAACATCGATAACAGAAATTACGTACTTGCAAGCCATTGCGATCAGAAACGTCATTGACGGACCGCTACAGTTGTGGCTTTCTTGCCCTATGAGGATCCCTCGAGACAAGTCAGAGACAAGACAGCACACCTCGCAAGGTCTGGTAAATTGGGCTCGTTGGGATCCAACCAGTAGCAACCTTGAATTGCGCGGAGAGGTGTCCGGGAAGCTTCAATCTAGCTGAACCAAGTCTTCATTTGGTGTTGCTAGTTGATAGGCGAGCAAGACATGCAGGTCCGTCGCCCAATACAGGATCCCTTCGGGCTGCGACCCGCGAGCTGGACCATGAGAGTTGTTGTGAAGCCGGACAGATGCCCCTTTGGGTATAAAGTAGCATCCTTTCCCCTCAAGACTTCCCATAGTGACCCAAGCAAGCACCTTCATCTCTCACCTTGAGCCAACAAAGCCCCAGCCACTATTCTCAACTTCCCATTCTCTCTCTCTCCCCATATCTAACATGCGCGTACGCGCGCTCTTCGCCGCCGGCCTCGCCGCCCTGGCCGCCGCCGCCGCTACCCCCCAGCAGATCGCCGACGGCATCAACAGCATCACGCACAAGATGGCCGCGCTCCAAGCCCCCGGGCAGAGCATCACCATCGTCAACGCCCCCCTCATCGTCATCGGCCAGGGTCCCTTCCCCGTGAGCACGCATCCAAACCGTGCTGCGTTGAGCAATCAAATTAACGTGTGACCTTACCAGACAATCATCGCAGGTTTTAACGACATTGTCAGCACCGCGACTGTCCTCGCCGGCCAGATCGGTTCTAGGCCGGAGCGCCGCGCCACGGATGCGGGGCAGGAGGGCGGCGTTGCCGTGGCGGACGCCTATCGGACAGTACGGATACTTCCTCGTTCGAGACAATATGTGCGAGTGCGTGCTAACAGCAATATAGCTTACCAGGGTCTCGCAGGCCACCCTCAACATCTTGATTGGCAAGGCGGGTCTCCTGCAGCACGTTCCGGTTGTTGGTCCTCCCGTCGCCTCTGTCCTTCGCGGCGTCGAAGCTACCTTTGATGTATGTCTTTGTTTGTCTATATATCTTTCGTCTCTATTCTTCGGCTCCATTAATGACACGTCTAGTCCATTGCCATTGGCCTCATCAACACCTTTCCTTCTGAGGCCAAGGAGTTGGAGAGCAACGCCAACTCTCTCGGCGCGACTTTGGATCTTGCGATTCAAAAGTACGAAGGACTTCAGGTTTAAAAACGCCATTGCACTTAAAAAAGCAGTTGTTTACTGCCCCTTCGTTCTGGAAGCTTCGTTGAGTGAGCGCACTCGCCCTAGACGAGTCTTCGACATGGTCGCATCTTAGTCGGGTTTGCGTTGCTCATGTATGTGGTTCTGGTAACAACGGAGCCGTAAACCATGAGCTTGCGTCATCAGTTTTCAAAGCTATTTAATATGTCTCCTTTTATTTTCCCTAGCCTTTAATGCCCGACCATGGCCTCGCGGTACTCCGCGTACCTTTTGCCAACCGGCTTCGCGTCGTCCACGATCCGGCGCATCTCGGCCCTCTCCGCGTCGGTGAGCCGGACGTCCCGCGACCGCCAGTTCTCCTCGAGACACCCTGCCCGCGTCGTTCCTGGGATGTTGATCATGCTCTGGGCCGTTACCCAAGCGAGCGCCACCTGGGCCACGGAGCAGCCCTTGCGCAGTGCCAGCTTCCGGATCTCGTAGACGATGGCCTTGTTCTTGTAAACCTTGTCGCCTTGGAACTTGGGTGCTGTGTAATCACTCTCCTGTTAGCAAACTACGTTCAAATTTCATGGGATGGATGTGCACTTTTGCAGGTGCGGCAAAAATCATCGGTGGCAAAGTCGTCCGGGGGCTTGTACTTGAAGTCGTTGACGAGCCAGCCATGACCGAGGGGACTGTAGGCCACGTATGCCACGCCGAGCTCCCTGGCCGTGTCAATGAGGCCGTCCGTTTCGTGAAGCGTCTCAAACGCCGAGTATTCAGCTTGCATGGCATCAATCTTAGCGACTAGAATACCACGGTCAGCTAGGATCAGTTTAGAGCCACCATCATCAGGGTTACCTACTAGCATGTGCTTTTCTCAGGTTAGCCACAGAGCACTCGGACAAGCCGATGAACTTGGTCGTACCAGCACGGCGAAGCTCGTCCCGCGCGCTGATGGACTCTTCCAAAGGAGTATCTGCAGTCGACTCAGCAGGACGGTGGAAGCACGAAACGAGCAAGTCTAGGGAGACGTTCTGGGGTCAATGCTATGAAGGTAATAGAGGTCAGGAGCAAATCCGAGTCTACCAGTCGTCTCCTCGATGGACTTGTGGATGTGAGCCGTCGAATTGGTCACCTTGATAGTCGGCCCGGAAGTATCGAATTTACTTAGTGTATTTGTGTTCTTGCGTACTATCATTAATTTGTCGTTGCGAAATCTAGTCCATGTAGACGGACACAAGCGTGGTCTTTAGCTCGGACCAGAATATTGATTTACCAGCCAAGGAAAAGAAAGCCAATAGCCAAGCCCCAAAACAAGAAGCATTCGGCCTTGCGTGTCGTACGAGTAGCCGCAATGGCGTGGTCAAGATGTTTCATTTTATCGGCCTTGGGTAACAAAAGGCCTGTCCTATGTAGTGGGGCCGATTGTATGGTTCCCGCATCTCGTATGGAATCCGGGCCTACGTACTCCATATTCTGCCTTGGAATGTTGTTGACGTTTTCTTCTATATGCCTTGCAGATTTACGTACGAGCTCAGGGGATCCACATAGCACATGAGAGATCTAAAGAAAAACCATGTACTACTCATTTTTCTACTGTGGACATTCTAAAGTAATAATGTGCCAACTATGTTTTGCCTATATAAGCCTAAGCTTCCTTCTTAGTTTAAGTGTATAGGTTAGCCTATGTTCGTTTTACTATTATTTAATACGTAGCTACTTAGGTTAGAATGAAGGCTATTCTTTTTTTCCTAGCCTTGCCCATAGTAATAGCTACTAACGTTAGCCACCCACTTTTAAGCCACCTAACCTCTTCCTTTTTAATAATAAACCTATATTATTAGAATTACGTTTTTTAGCGCCTAAAAAATCTTATAATTATTATTTTTTTACTATTATATTATTATAAGTTAATATATTAAATAAGACCTTTAAAATACTATTTAAGATATAATTAGTAGTATAAGTATATAAAAGGTAGTAAATCACTAGTCTATATATTAAAGAATACTATAGTATTATATTAAAGGTATAATATTATAGAAAGTGGCTTTTAAGCTATTATAATAATTTCTAGTTACTTAGGAATTATATCTTATTTTTTAGATCCTAATTTAGGATTATCTTAGTAACCCCCCTATCTACTAGTAGGTTTAGAAGATTACTCTAAGTCTCTACTAAGCTAATAGTAATAATTATAATATTAGAATTAAGTAGTTATAAGGCTTTAAAAGAATAGTCTAGTACTTAGGTTATTATAGAAGAGAATTACTCTAAAGAGATAGTCTAACTAGTACTATTAGAGTATAATCTTTAAATGTATTTTAACTATAGAGAAGAAGCTAAATCTATTAGTTCTTTTTAATAGAAAGAACATTTAATAATAGTAGTTATTATATAGATAAATTCTTATTTAAATATTATTATAATAATATATACCTTCTATTCCTATTAGCTTATAACTCTTATATCCTTTAACCTCTTAATATAACTATCTTTAGTACTATTAAAAGAGTCTATAAGACTAAGCTTAAAAAACACTCTAATAATAATAATTCTTTACTAGTTAGAATAAGGATTTTCTCTTAAGTATTATACTATTATAAAAGAGACTAGAATAATAGAAAATAATATTTATTTAAACTAATAAATATTAGGATTATACTCTATTTATATAGTATATTAATTAATAAGTAAACTACTATTAAAGTACTAAAAATAATACTTCTATAGTTAATAAAAGCACTTAATAAAAACTTTATACTATATTAAACACTTATTAATAAAAAAAAGCTTTATTACTTATTTTCTAAGAGTTTAAAGCACTTAACTAATAAGTATATAATATAGTTAATATAGTAGAAAATTAAAAAGTAATTTAATATCTAATAAGCTAGAATAGTGCTTTATAATAGTAGCTTAATCCTAATCTATAGTTAGTCTACTTCTTAGGTAGAGAGTTAGTTTAAATATATAAAGTGTATATAAGTAGTTATTATAGTATAAGTTATATTAAGAGATATCTCCTAATAGTAGAACTATTCTATTACTTAGATTAATTAGGAGATCTAGACTACTTAGCTATAGGAATACCTCCTCCTTAAGTACTTATCTACCTCTCTACTATATTCTTAAGATTACTCTAGATTACTAGTAATCCTTTATAATCTAATGTCTATAGGATTACTACTAGCTTACTATAATCTATAGTAATCTAATTATATAACCTTATATCCTAATTAGGTGACTTATAGGTTCCTACTTAGTTACTCCCTTAGGCTACCTCCTAACTACCTTATATATATTCTTAATTTATAATATTATTCTCCTCCTCTATTAGTCTTATCCTTAAGGCCACTATATTAAGTCTCTTCTTTTTTTATTCTATAGGTTCGTTTTTCTCTCTTATATTATTATACTTTACTATATCTAATTATGTTTCTAAGCTTTATCTTTTAAAAGCTAAATAGTGTTTTAAACTTACTATTAAAGAATTTAGTATTAAAGTTATACTTTATTCTTTTTATTATTCCTAAAAACTTCCTTATAAGATAATAGAGGGTGTTTTTTATTATAAAGAGTGTATTAATTATAGTTATTCTTATAATAGTTTAAATATACTAGTATTTTCTTTTAATTAAATTATTTTAGAATCCTAATGTTTATATTATAAAGAGGAGGAAGCTACTACCCTCTTTTATTATCTTTAATAAGAATCCTCTAAAGCACTAGCTAAACTAGAATGCTTATAAAAATAATATAAGTCCTTTATAACTTAGGGTTCTACTATAGTTAAGTGTAGTCTTTAGTTACTAAATAAGCTTAATAAGTCTAAGAGAGTTAAGTTAGAGACTATAATTAAGGTCTAGTCCTTAGGTTATATAAATATAGTAGATTAGAATATTATCTTTTTAGATTTATTATAGATACTTAAGAAGGAACTTAATAAGTAGAATACTACTTATTAAACTATTAAAGTAGGTCTAAGTATCCTATAAGGTTCTTAATTAGTTCTTAAGTGTTTTTAGAGTTTAAGTATCTTTTTTATTTAATAAGATAATAATAATTCTTTTCTATACTTTATATTTTAAGTATCCTTTTAACTTATTATTTATTTATATTTTTAATAGTAATATCTATAGTAAGTATTATATTATTTAGTACTTTCTCTAATAATAATATATAAAATATAGAATATATCTTTATCCCTTCTAGTAATAATAGTTTATAGTTAATTTCTAATAGTTTCTATTTAATAAGGAATAGTCTAATTTTCTTCTAGTTAAGTTTATTACTAG